AAGAAATTTCAAGGAAGTTGAATGGTGAGGCTGTGATTTGGCTATTGTTGGGGGCTTTTTACTCAGATCTATGTTGAGAATCAAGAGTAAAGAGCCAAGCAAAATGTGAGTTTTCCCAGCAAGAAAGCTTCAGTACAGTTGTGGACTGCAAAAACAGAACAGAGGAGATCTTTATTACTAAGAAGGAACAGAATAGAAAAGGTAACTTGAGAGGGTCCCAAGCAGCAAGACTCCACCTTTTGCAGTATATCAAAATTGCAAAAGTGAAAGACTTTTCTTTGAGAAGATATCCTAAGAGCACTGTGTTCCAGAATGGCAGAGGCCACATCATGTTCCACAATGACAGCAGCCTAGAAAATTTGTTCCTCAAAATTTGATTCAGAGTGACCAGAAATCCAGACACTTGACCCCTACAGTCAAGAGAAAGGGAAACCTGGCTACTGTTCCAGCTGGCAGCAGACCTTGGCATCATACACATGGTGCTAGTTTTAGGTACATACAGAATAGAAGATTTATGGGTCAGGGAGGCTTCCAACCAGATTTCAGAAGACCTGGAAGTCCAGGGTGCCCCACGGAGAGGGTAGTGTATGAAGCTGTGAATATGAAGCCAAAGGTATAGTGGAGACCCCAAAGGTTTGAAGAAGTCAAGAATGTGGATCATCTAAGAAAAATTGCAAGGAGGGAGCAGAGCAGACCCAATTGAAAAGCCATGGGAGTTACTACCACCACCCAAGCGCTTGAGAGTTCTCATCTTGCCACAGATTGCCTTGGTGCTGCACATGGAATTATAGGATTTAATGTTTGCCTTACTGGACTTTGGATTTGTGTTAGTCCCATTCTTTTGTATCCCCCCGTTTGTAACTTTTAGAATGGAAATGTCCGGTGCCACTGAATTTGGAAGTGTTTAACTTTCTATTTGTATAGGAGCTCACAGCCAAGAGTTTGGCTTAAATCTCAGAGGAGACTTGGGACTTGGACTTTTCAGCAATGTTGAAATTCTTAGGACTTTGATAACTCTTAGATATGGACTAAATGCCTTTTGAGTAAAGGAATGGACATTAGTCTTTAGAAGGTCAGAAACAGAATGTTAGAGTCTGTGATACAGATATCTTCTCCAAAGTCTCATGCAGTCATGAGGGGTGAGATTTTAAGAGATTCCGAGTCTGGAGTTTGTAACTGATTCAGGGTACAATAGTGAGATTAAGGATGTGAGTGCTACACCCACCCTAGTGCTGGTAGTCTGCATATAATATAAGGAAAGAAAGAGACTTGGCTCCTCTCTGTTCCTTTCGCTGTCTCCCTGATATGAGCTGTTGCCCCTCTGCCATACCCCACTCTGCTTTACAGCCAGCAGATTATGGACTGAAACATCTATAGACATCCTTTCTTAACTTATGAGTGCTGGGTTTCTTTGTCACAAAACTCAGAAAAGTACCTCAGACAAGCACTAACAAAATTGTAATGAGGGTCCACAATACCTCACTGTCACAAATAGATCAACTAGTCAAAAAATCAACAAAGAAATATTAGAACTGAACCAAACCTCCAAACAAATAGAGTAAATAGATGTGTACAGAGTGTTCCATCCCACATCAGATACACATTTTGCTCAGCGGCAATGGGATGTTCATCGAAATAGACTACATACCAGTTCATAGAATATGCTCAAGTGAAATGTAAAGGAATTAAAGCCATCCTATGCATGTTATCAGACCATAGTGCAGTGAATTGGAAATCAATGACAAAAGAAAAAAAACTACATAAATATATACATTAAATAACACCCTTTTGCACAGCCAGTGAGTCACAGATGAAAATAAAGAAGAAATTAGTTTCTACAATTAAATAGCCATGCCAGTACAACACATCAGAGCGTATGGGATTCAATAAAAGTAGTCCTCTGATGGAAATTTATAGTGATGGACTCCTACATCAGGAAAACCACCTAATTTTGAACTTCAAGTTTCTAGAAAAAGAAGAACAAGTCAAAGCAAAGCTCTATCAAGGAAGGAAATTAAAAATCAGAGGAGAAATTAATAATACACTGCAAACTAAGAAAACAATACAAAGAAACAATGAACTGAAGAGTTGGTTCTTTGAAAGAACAAATAAGATTGATAAACCTTAACCAAACTTATCAAAAAAGGGAAGAAAATATTCAAATCCATGCAGTTGGGAATGAAAAGTGCGAAATCACAATAGTTCCTGCAGAAATCCAGAAGATCAATACCTATTTTGAGAACCAGTATTCTAATAAGATAGAAAACACAGAAGAAACAGATTCCTAGATACATGACTTACCAAAGCTGAATCAAGAAAATATAAAAACTAAACAAACATTAGTGAAAATGAAGATGTAATTAAATACCTACCAACCAAGAAAAGCTCATGTCCTGATGAATTTACTGCTTAATTCCACTAGAAATTTAGATAAAATCTAATGCTACTGCTTCTCAAACTCATAAAGGAAATTGAAAGAGAAGTAATACTCCTAAACTAATTCCTGGAAGTAAGTGTTACCCTGATACCAAAACCAGAGAAAGGTCCAACCAAAAAAGAGGTCAATTTCTCTAATTTATATAAACACAAAAGTCCTTAAGTAAGATATTGACAAACAATGGAAGTCACCAAGGAAGACTGTACACCATGACCAAGTAGGATTCACCCCAGGAAGGCAGGGGTGGATCAGCACATGCAAATCAATAAATGTAACACACCATATGGACAGAAAGCCAAGGACAAAAATCACGTAATTGTCTCAATAGATGTAGAAAAAGTATTTGACAAAGTTCAATAGTCGTTAATAATAAATCCCTTCGGAAAATTGGAATAGATGGTTTATCTCAATCTGGTAAAAGCCATCTATGACAAACCAATAGGCAACAACACACTAAATGATAAAAAACTCAAAACTTTTACTCTAAAATCAGGATCATGGCAAGGATATTCACTATCACCAGTCTTATTCAATACAGTTCTGGAAACATTAGCTAGAGCAATTAGACAGGAGAAAGAAATAAAAGGAATAAAGATAGGAAAGGCAGAAGTTACCATTATTTGCAGATGACATGGTGTTATACATAGAAAAGCCCAAAACCTCCACCAGAAGACCTTAGATTTAATAACCAAAGCTGTCATATTGCTGGAAACAGCATCAACACTAAAAAATCAATAGCTGTCTTGTACACAAATAACAGACTCACTGAGAGGAACTAGAAGAAAGATACTTTTCATAATATCAAAAAAATGAAATACTTAGGAATCCAATCTGACAAAGGAAGCAAAAGGTCTCTACCTTGAAAGTTACAGTACTCTTAAAAGGAGATCAAAGGAGATATCAGAAAATGGAGATATCCTTTGCTTTTGAGTAGGAAGAACCAACAGAGTAAAAATGGCCATACTGCTAAAATTGCTATACAGATTTAATCAAACCCCAATTAAAATACCAATAACATACTTCACAGAATTATAGAAAATAATTCTAAAATTTATTTGGGACTAGAGGAGACTTACAATACCAAAAAGAATTCTGGGCAACAAAAGGCAGAAGGCATGTGAATCCCTGGCTTGAAAGTATACTACAAAGCTACTGTGATAAAAACTGCATGGTTTTGACAAGCAAAAAACCAAGAATCAGTGAAACAGATTAGAAAACTCAGAAACAATTCCAAACACACTCAGCAATCTTATCTTTGACAAGGGGGCCAAACATCTTCACTGAAAGAAAGCCTATTTAATAAATGGTGCTGGAAAAACCGGTTTTCCACATGTTGAAGAATAAATCTAGGCCCAGGTCTATTACCATGCTCCCAACTAAAATGAAAATGCATCAAAGATCAAACTACTAACACAAAAGCACTAAGTCTACTGGAAGAGAGACTAGGTAGAACTCTTGAAGTCATAGGTGTAGGCAAAGACTTGATGAATAAACCACAATTGCATGAGAAATTTTATGAAGCATCAATGACTGGGATTACATCTTAATAAAAAGCTTTTGCACAGCAAAAGAAATCAACATAGTGGGGAGACAACCCACTGAGTGAGAAAAAATGTTGCCAGCAGTTCCCAAAGGACTAATATGCAGAATATATAAGTAATTAAAAAGATCATATCCCCAAATTTAAAGACACAACCTAAAAAATGGGAATCTGAAATGAATACACACTTCTCAGGTGAAGAAGTAGAAATGGCAAATAAAGAAATGAAAAAATGTTCAACATCATTGGTCATCTGAGAGCTGCAAATTAAAGCTGAGATCATCTCACTTCAGAAAGGATGGCTATCAAAAAGTCAACAAATACAAATGCTAAGAAAGCTGTGGGGAAAAGGAACCCTTCTCCACTGTTGGTGGGAGTGTAGACTGGTGCAGCCACTGTGAAAATCAGTGTGAAGATTCCTAAAAAATCTAGGATAGAAGGCCCAGTTGACCCAGTTGTTCCCTTTCTTGGTATGTTCCCAAAAGAATTAAAAACATCATATCACATCAATATGAGTACACCCATGTTTATAGCAGCACAGTTTATAGTAGCTACACCTTGGAAACAACCCAAATACTCATCAATCAGTGAACGGACAAAAGATGAGTTGTTTTTTACAGTGGAATACTTGAAACCATATTCTTAAGTGCAGTAAACTAAACATATGTGTAAATGTCACATTGTTCCTCTGGTGTGAGAAACAAAGTGTAAATAAGGACCAGAATGTATAATAGATTTGGGGAATAGGAGGAAATTGTTCAAAATGAAAGGAAACTTAGGGGAAAGGAAGGAAGGGCAAAGAAAAAAATACAAAAGAAAAAATAGAACCAAAGCATCTGTGACTGAGGGGAAGGAGGATTGAAGGGAAGGGAAGAGAAGGGAATGGGAAAAAAAAGAATCAAAATATATCATGTACAGGTACAAATTCCCTATGATTGTGATCATTATGTATATCTGTCATGTACCAATGAACTTAATTTAAAAGAAAAGCAACCACGTTCAAGGGGAAATGGTAATACTCACATTATCAGGACCAATTAAACAGCTCACACTTTTCAAGGGGCAGAATGTATCAAATTGTGCATAAAAATGCCCACTGCAGGGATTCCATATTAAATAATGATTTTGTTCCCAAGTTAGCACATAGGCAGTTGGACCCTGAAGAGAAACAGACATTAAAATCAATTTTGAATGAATTATGTAATTAAGGGCAATAGTAGTTTGCACAAACATTTTGTTAATTTATTTGGATCCTAAAATTCCATGACAAGTGGTGAAAATTAGTTTGCAGTTCTAGGCTGAATTGGATTTTAAATAAGAATTTTTTTTTTCTTGCAAAGTTCTCAGACCATACAGTTCTGTGCAAGTAAGACCAGCAGTCACTTTACTCAGCACCTCAAGACTGGCTGTGGAACCATTTCTAAAGAACATAAGAAGTCACTGGCATTTTCTTCTCAGAGTAAATAAAACTTATTTAGGTCTCTAGAAGGCTGATTATTCTGGAAAAGTATTTCTAAGAAAGCACTTTACATTTGATATCCATTTATAATTATATAAATGCCTAGAAGATTTGAAAGATGCAAGAGAGTGAGGAGGGGGAAGTTTGTGCAAAAAGACAGCTAACCGGGGCTTTGGGTGGTGAAGGGAAGGTGTAAGGTGGCCCTGAGGGACCCGGTACCACATCCAGTCATTTCATGTCTCACTGGTAGTTCCGTCTACCTGTTAGGGCACATCTGGGCCACTGTCCTAGGAACCCGAGTTGCTTTGAAAACAAATCCCATCCACCATCCACGGCCTGGGCTGCACAACGTGTTCCTCTGCGGAAGCCACATGCGGGACCCTACCTCGGGAATTGCGTTGCCCATCACCAGCCAGGCCTTCTTCCCCAGGAACAGGAAGTAATCGCACAGCAGCACGGCGTGCTCCTCTTCGTCTCCTGCCAGGAGATCCAGAAACTGCTAACGAGAGAAAAGATGTGGCATCAGCTGACTGCTTTATACGGAATCAGCTTTATCTGATTGGCCATGCAGGGTTTTAGCAAGTTACAGCTGAGATTAGTATCTTAAAGTATGAAACCTGTTTTTCAAATCTTTCCCCAATTTTGGTAGTATATGGATGATTTTTTTCCTGTTTGATGGGATCTTGGTATGTAGTTGGTATGATGAGATGGGATCAGGTTGGCCTTAAACTCACTGCGTAGTAATGGCTGGCCTTGAACTCATGGTGATTCACATGCCTCAGCCCCCCAAGTGCTGGCTGTACAGACGTACACTACCGTGATGATCTTTAACAACAGTTTTGGTGGACATACTATCTTCTCTAACATTGGTGATGTAGATTTCTAGAATTAAAATCGGAATGATTAGGGTACGGATGGCCATTTTAAGAGCAGTAGATATGACTGCTCCCTCTATGGTAAATGCTCTGTAAAGCATATTATATGCACTAAAGCATTTAATCCTGGAGCAGCCTTTTGAAGAAAGTATTCCTACTCTCAGTTTCACAGATGAGAAAGTGAAGGCATGGATCCTAAAGTAATTCTTGGTGTTAAGCCAGCCTGGTTCTAGTATGAGAACCACTGCGTACTTCATGTATCTTCTCATGGGCCCCTCTGGGTTGTAGAAAACTCATTTCTAAAGTTATAATCATTTATGTTGTCAAAATATATTAGGAGATAAAAAATTTAAAGTGCTCTTAAGTTTCTTCAAATTAGGAGTTTCATTTGAAGGAAGTTGTATAATACTATGTAATGCAAACACAGCACAATGGGAGATCCAAAGCGGAATTAATTGGATACGTTTGTCTCCTATTACCCTAAGATCTGCTTGGAAGTTTATGTACCATAGAAATAAATTCAGCAGAAGTGGAGTCATATTTATTTGGGTTAAGTCCAGGACCTAGGACAATTCTGTATGTATGTCTGTATGTAGTAAGTGACCAATAAATATGTACTGAATAAATAATGTTGCAACATGCCTTAGCTTATGATTTCAGGAATGTATAATTGCCAGTTATGGTATGGAATGCCATTTTGATTTTTATGAACGAAACTGCAATACTGTTGAAGTAACACTAATAGGATGATTCAGCATCAAGACATGGAAAGCCTTATTTTTTGTAGTGGTGCACACTTGTAAGGGTGAGGAAGGGTGGAAGGGTGAGGCAGAGGATTGCCACAAGTTTGAGGTCAGCCCAAGCTTCACAGTCAGTTCAAAGCAAGCTTGCACTACACAGCAAGGCCCTGTCTCAAAACAGCAACACTGTTTTATTCTTTGTATAATTAATTTCTTTTTAACTTAACTGTCAGAAAAATGATCCAGGAAAAAATATACTACACAATTTAGCTCATGATGCTAAACAGATGGCCAAGTAGGTTTTTATGACTAATGAATGCACAGTATAAAATCCTGCAAGCCAGTTAGCTAATACTCAATGAAGGAAGCAGTAGTAGAAGGACTTACATCCGATGTGCTCCAGAGATCACAGATACCAGCGAACGAAACCGTGTCAGGCAAGAAAGGAATCAAGGAAACGTACCGAGCCACCAGTTCCTGTAGTAACAAAATCAGCTTTGAAACGTAATTTGCAGTAAAATAGAAAGCTGTGTCCCCAGCTGCATTTGGATGCCAAGTTTTATTAATAACAGTGATCCTAGTGTCTTGTGCAGGTCTGTGCTTTCCTTTATGTGTTATATGTTACAAATATCTTCTGATCAATGGCTTAAATTTTCATTTTCTTCAGTTACTTTTGGGAAACTCAAATTCCCAATTTAAAATGATCTAGTTGTTTGTCTTTAAAACAAAATTTGTGCTTTTTTTCTTAGTTAAGAAATCTTTTAGATCATAAAAATCTAAATGCCTTTCACACATAAGCCCTTAATCTATATGCAACTGAGTGTTGTGACTTTTGGATAAACGCTATAGTGAGTCTTCCTACTTGGGTCCCTACTTGTCAGGATTGTTTTGACTATCTTTGGCCTTTTTCACTCTTACGTAAATAACAGAATCAGCTTGTTAAGTTCTACTGCAGAGTAGGGATGCACTTGGGTAATGGTCTCAGTGCTGGAACTGCTAATATTAATTGTTGAAATACATTTTGATTACTTTGAATTTGATGATGCTTGTAGCATTAGGTATATTCCAAAGAGTTTTGTTTTTGTTTTTTGGTTTTTTTTTTTTTTTTTTTTGGTTGTTTTGTTCTGAGACAGGGTCTTGCTATGTAGGTGAGGCTGACCTTAAACTCACTATGTAGCCTAAACTGGTCTTGAACTCATGGTGATCCTCCTGTCTCAGCCTCTTGAGTGCTGGATTTGCAGACATGCACTACCATGCTTGGCTAAGTAGCTATTTTGATATAGTAGAAAGTACATGAATTCTGAAATTAGAGGCCTTGGTTTGAACCCTAACAGAAGTTATTCAGACTACAAAGCAAAAACATGTTTATGTAAAACATTTTGAAAGTACACAGTACCTTCCATATGTTAATTTTTCAATATCTAATGAAATGCCAGGGACACAGTAAGCTTCAACCATTATTCACTGAAAAAATAAACTGCAGATTGTTATCAGCCCTGGTACATTCAGGCTTTGCTCATCAAAGCAACCCTTGTGTCATTAAAAAGGTTTCAATCATTATGTTCCCTCACACTTAACTTGGGTTGTTTGCTTGGTTGGCTTTACACTTACCTAGGGATTAGCAGTACACATATGGTGCATCTGCTGGGAACTGGAGGTGCAACCTTGGAGTCTCTATCTGGTCTCAGGCCACTTCCTGTCTGGTACCAGTCCCCTATTCTGCTTCTAGCCACCATGGGGTAAGCAGCTGCCCGCAACCCAGCCCTCCATCATGATGTTCCTGTATTAGAACTAATTGGAGACCGTGCCCTAAAACCACAAACCAAATTAACCATTTCTTCTGGGAAGCTGTGGAAGTCAGGAACTTAATCCCAGCAGCAGGAAAGTGGATCAACACTCTCCTCACTAATGACCTTGGTACACTTAATATCTTAAGGACCATGAAACACGACAAAGTGGTAGAGTATTGACTGAAACATTTCTGCAGCAGCATCAGCTGGCTAAAGAGTACTTACTGCAGTGGCCTGTGGGTTATTGGGGTAGACATTCAGGAGCTCCTCAGGAGGGTTGAGAGGTTTGAGGTAACGGGTAACAAAAACTGTTTTTCCACTTATGTCAGTGACTGTCGTAAGGCACTGCCGAGTCGGGAACTTTAACGCACACTCGGCTTGAAACTTCTCTGTTGCTTGAAGCAATTTCTCATCTTCCTGAGAATCAAACTTCAAAAAGAAACACTACATGGAGTTTACAGATTACAGGAGACAAAGAAGAACATGTTCAGATTCCACGCGAACTGAAAGTGTGGCTTAAGAATTATGATTCAGAGATTCCTAATAGAACCAACCTGTCTTAGTGTCCCTGTCAGTTTAATTGCTTGTATTCATAATTTAAAAACTGGACTGATTCATTAAACACATAAAGTGCATTCCACAGGATTGAAAGAAAGTAGTGAACAGGCAAGCAACCATCTAGAAATTACTGGATTAATATAACAATCTATAAAAATTAAGCTACAGATGGCATAGTAATTGTGACTGATGAGCCTCAGAGATAGACTTTATGTGACTGTATTTCCGCGCTGGCTCTAAGATACATCATCTCAGAGGTAAGATGTCCGCGTGACTGTTCCTATGGTACAACTGTCAAGCCAGAGAAACTATGGCTTTACGAAGATGGAAAATTATGAACAAAGATGATGTGAAGAAAAAGCACACAGTTGGGTTGGACCATGTTCTTTTACACCTGTTCATTTACTTATTCATCAAATACAGTAAATCCCTGACTTAGGAAAAAGCTTTGTTCTTGAAGATTTGTTCCTAAGTCTCACAAAGCAAGTCTTACACAATATCTTTATGAAAGTTTGCGACTTGAATGTTCATAAGTCAGGGACTGACTGTATTTGAGAAATGTCTGCAGAGACTAGAAAAGATTCCAGGCACACTGAACAAATTGAAACAGTTCCCTCAAAACTAAGGAGGAGAAGACAAGTGACGGAATGGGGAGGGGAGAAGGGGAAAAAAGAGAAGAGAAAAAGAAGGAAAGAAGGCAAGATTGGTGTAACTCTGGTAAATTGTGGGATGGGGGTTGGAGCTCTAATTTTGTTCCTTTATCAAGTTGTTTAGACTATTCTGAGTCTTTTCTATTTTTACAGAAATCTAAGAATCAAAATGTTAATCTTTGTGAAAAACGCTGTTGGCAGTTTGATAAGGGATTGTGCTTTTTAATGTTTATTATTTTCTTCTGTTTTTTAAATTTTATTTCATTTTTAATTTCTCAAGGAAAGATATGAGAATATTTCATGATTTGCTTTCTTTCTTTCTTTCTCTTTTCTCTGTCTCTTTCTTTCTTTCTCTCTTTTCTCTGTCTCTTTCTTTCTTCCTTCCTTCCTTCCTTCCTTCCTTTCTCTCTCTCTCTCTCTCTCTCTCTCTCTCTCTCTCTCTCTCTCTCTTTCTTTCTTTCTTTCTTTCTTTCTTTCTTTTTTTCTTTCTTTCTTTCTCAGTACCTGGGATCAAACTCACAATTTCACACTTGCTAGGCAGACACTTAGCCACTGAGCTAAAATCCCCGGCACATAACTTTCTTTTCTAATAAATGTACTTGGTGTTAAAAAAAAGAAGAAGAATAAGAAGACAAGAAAAGAAGAGGAAAGGAAACAATCTCCTCAAGCGACTTCTAGGCTGGAGCGGAACAGAGCTAAGCAGCTAGGAACTGGACACCTGGCAGCGAGTCTGTGGGGCTAAGCACAGGTGCTATGGGAGCAGCTAAGCGACGCAGCTGGAGGCACCGTCCCGGAAGCACAGCACGGATCCTGGTCACTGTTGGCCCTCTGAGCTGAAAGCTGCCAGCCTGGCCCTGCTACGTGGACTTGAGTGTCCTGCTGTGTGTCTTAACTGCATGCTGTGCATTCTGACTGGAGGGCTTGGGTGTGGATGGGATCTTTCCCCCCTCAAGCATGCACACAGCCAGCGCTCCATAAACATTAATAATCACTGAAACTTTTTTTAGGCTACCTGGATGTGAACTTAAGGAGTAGTAGGCTCTGCTGGTGATTTAAGTGCCATGGAAGAGCCAGACACTAAAAGAATTTTCAGGGTTTATTATGCAAATAATTCAGGTGGAACCGACCAGTTCACAATTTGAGTCAACAGGAAATTTGAAAGATTCTTAACTGGCTCAATTATGACTCCTTAATGTAAACATTTGCAGAAAACTGAAAGGGTTTATCTGGCTTTTGAATAGATGCACCATGACAGCCCCACCCTGCTAAAAAAAAAAAAATTGTCAGAGCTATACTCTCGTAAACAGCTCCTAGGCTTCCTGGATCTGGAAAGAGGGTCACTCCAAGGTGCAGGCAACATTCAGATTAATGACTTGTTAGACTCTTTCTGACAAATAGAGCAGGCCAAAGACATTCTTTTAGTGTGGGTGGGGTGGGGTGGTGCCAGGGATTGAACCCAGGGCCTTGAGCTTGCTAAGTACATGCTTTGCCTCTGAACTGCACCCCCAGACTGAAGCCTGGACATTTTTTGTGACTTGCAGACACCAGTTTCCTGCCAAGGAATCACACACACATCCCGACCCAGCCCTTGTCCCCAGGGACAGTGGGTAAAAGCAGCTACTTGCAGGCCTAATAATGAATTGTAAAGCAAAACAGTACCTTCTTAAGCAGGTCGCTGGTCTATCACAGGCAAAGAAGAAAAAAAGAAATGGAAGGAATGAGAGAAGCCTTTGTCGATACAAAAAAATCTATTTAAAAAATTTCGTTTTCAACCAAGATGATGTAAAGTAGATGTTAAAAGGAATGTTTGGGAGTTGCCCAGGATTTTAAAAAAGTTTTTCATTAGCAAATACCTTTTAAAAATCAGACGGAATGATTCCACTTGGGATGGTGGTAGGGGAAACTCCGTTAGCGAAGTTAATGGCGAAGTGCCATGGAAGAGCCAGACACTAAAAGAATTTGGAGGGTTTATTATGCAAATAATAAAATTCTAGGTTTTGATCCCTATTTGTGACAGTTAAGCTCAACTTTTAACTTGATTGACTTCAGAGCCAGCCTGGGGATTGGTACAGCACATCTGGGTGTCTGGGTGCATCACAGAGGCCTAAGTTAGGGCTCTGTACCTGGCCTCTGGCCCCTCCCTCTCTGCTACTGTTCCCTGCTCTGCTCCCAGCTGCTGTGAACTGGTGAACCTTGCAGTTCTGCTCCCACACACCCTTCTGCCTTTACAGTCCGCCTGGGGGCCAGCCATGCACTGAGCCTCTGGAAACTACAGGCAAAAGTAAACCTTTCCACCTTTGAGTTGTGTTGGAGAGCACTGAAGCTGAATACACGTGCAGGGCTGTGGATGGCCCAGGCACGAGTGAACTGAGAATGAGGAAACACATCACGGGCAAGATAGGCCGCAGCTGAGGCCGACTGTAGACTTTCTGGATAGCTTTCCTTAATTAGCATCAGCTGTTGCTCTGAGGGGTCCTTGAACCTGCTCAGGGTTCTTCCCTTGTCCACTCCGCTCCTTGCTCTGATTAAATACAGGCTGCCCAGCATGAGTTGGCCGGCTGGCTGGCTAGCAGTTACAAGCTCTGCCCCGAGCACTTCACTCCTGCAGCCCTAAAGACCATGCCAAGTGTCTCTTTCCTTTGAACCTTTTCCGTGCACCCATTAGGGGTCTGGGGGTCTAGGTACAGATTCCAGCAGATTTGTCTGTCAGGCTCTGAGTCCAGCAATATGAAGCCTCACTAACACTGATGCTTTAGGATAAGAGCTTTCCCACAGCTTGGCAGTTTCTGTGTTGGTTGTTTAGAATATCAGGGTCCTGTCAGTCAACTGTCCCCCTGTCAAACAGTAACCAGAACAAGCCCTCTCTAGAGGCCCTAGGGTAATGATTCCTGCAGCCACATGGGCAGTGAAATGCCACCCAAGGCAGTGGTAGCTGCCTGGTTCCCTGCTGGGAGCAGGGCTGCAGGACTGGGGGACGTGTGGCAGTCCTGGCGGACTCTCCAGAGGAAACCTAGAGCAAGCCTAGGGAGTTCACCTTTTCTGTAGGCTGCAGACCGCTTGCCTATGATTTGGAAACTCGTCTCCAGATGGTGGACTAGCTAACTGCCTTTGCTTTTGTTTAGGATTCACAGAAATGATAAAATCATCTTTTGTCTGGGACCACTTTCTGTGTGTACATGCTTGTGAGCTTTCTCTTGAATTTATGTATGAAGACAATACTCAATATGCAGTTCCCTTTCTGAAAATATTAAGATGCACCTATTCTAGTGTTATTTTGAAAACTACAGCGTTAGTGGTTAATTTGAGCCAGGATGATGGAACATGCCTGTAAACCTTGCATTTGGGAGCCTGAGACAGGAGGACTGCTGTGAGTTTGAGGCCAACCTGGGATATGTAGGGAAACCCTGTCTTAAAAATGACAAAAAAAAAGTGATTTGAGTTTAAGTATATTTGTTTTTCCAATAATCTTTTATACCTTGCAAATGCCTTCCAAATGGGATATAAACATGGTATTTTTCTCTGTGAATCAAATTGGAATACTGGACAAGAAATACAAGTGTATTCTTTGTGTGTGTGTGTCTGTCTCCATCTGAGTCTTAACTGCAGTGGAAGACTAAAGAGGGCGTTAGGTTACACTTCACGGTGGGGCAGTTACCAGCTTGCAGTACCATGAATACACACTTTGTGAAATTTCTACTTGCTTTTCTAGGCTAATGGACCACTAGTCCCTTATAAAATACCTGTCACATACAGGATGATCAGTGATGTCTGCTGGGTGTACACAGTGTGGAGTCAGAAGTTTAAGTGTCCCCTCTCCATGTACTGCCCGTGTGACACTCAGTAAATCCTGTCTTACTGATTCATTGCCCGAGATGCCTGAGAGTGTAAAAGGAGGGAATGTACCTCAAATGTCTGACAGTGCTGAGGAGCAAGGACTGAGACCACTTTGGTGATGGTTACCACTGCATTAACCTGCATCTCAATAAGAGGTCACAATCAATCACTTTTTGCCAAATCCAAAAAAGGCAGTATGCATAAGGCCTGCATAAATACACTGAGAAAGTTTATTTCTCAGTGATGAAGGTTGGGGAACTGCTGTTACCAAGTAGAAGTTATGAAAATTTTTCTTTCTGGAGCTGCTTAGAAGAGTATCTATGCACATATTGATTCATCTAATGAAACACATTTTGGTAACCCATGACGGTCATCTGGCCTTGATCCTATGAACTGATTCAGTGCCTGGCCTCAGCCAGATCTGTGAGGTCAGATGTGGAAATCTATTCCAGCTTGGGTGCCAGTAGATTTCAAAAGAGGAATCTGATTTTCTAATTTGTCATTTTTCATTTTCTTCACACTGAGTAAGTTATTTTAAAAGCAGAACATGTTTATATTTGTTCTGCTTTGGCCAAAAAGTTTAGGTTACTAATTGACCTAATTACTGGCTCGGTAAAAGTATAAATCAGCAATATGTTGTCTCATTCACATGCAGTCCAAACTGGAAGAATAATTGGAGACTGAAGCAAGAAAACCTCGGTAGAGTGCAAAGTTTACAGTAGCTTAGCCTTGCCAATACTTCTCAGGTTTTTGCTAGCATTAGACATGGTTTCCAAACTGCGTATAAGCACAGTTACCTTCTCCCTAACAGACTCTCCCGGAACCAGCTGCGGCTCGATAGTAATGAACAGTGTGAGATAGGAACCTTCACTTAAGCTTCGGACGGAATCAAGGCCTCGCTCCAGAAGCACGTTTCGCTCCTTACTGTAGCCCAGGAGAACTGGGGGAGTATTTATTTTAAATGTTCCATCAATCTGTGAAGAAAATGTGACGTGGTAAACATTCTGATGATTTTCCGACAGAGGTTCAAAAACAAATGTCAACCCCTCCTGGATGAAATAGAAACTAGCACAGCTGACATTCCAAGCCCACCCTATTTCCCTGGCTTCATCTCCCAAGCTCACAGGAGAAAGGCTCTGTATTTCCTGCCTTGTTTTGCATTTAGCCAAGGATGTGCTGGCTATAGAAGTTGCTTGGGTTTGTAGCTTGGCTTAAACTCCAGGTGCCTCAGCTTCCTCATTTATAAAAAGGAGACAGCTACGGCACTTACTTTGTAGGGCTGTGTTGTGATTATTAGTGAATTAAGAGATACAAAACACTACCAACAGTGACTGGCATGTGATGTGGGCTCTATAAATACTGGCTGGCAGAACTCCCCTGTTCTGCAATGCCAGCCTGCCATATTGAGCTTACAGAATTTTAATCATGTTTTAAGGCTTGAATCAAATGCTTATATCACAAGCTTCTTTGTTATCTCTATCATTTTCCCATAGAATGTTTCTTTCATTTGTTACATTAACACATTCTGCTCAGCTTTATAGTTGTGTATTTGTCACATGCTGGATAACTGCTCTCTGCAAGTATTTTTCCTTCTTTAGTGTCACCTGTCTCTGACACACAGCAGTATTTTGAATGCACTGTAGATGTTCAGTGAATGTGGGCTGAATAGATGGATGACCACTCACGTATATAGAAGGAGCTTACATAGAATTCAAAAAGGCAGAACTTTTTTACTTTTGTAAAGTCAAAATTATTCAGGGTTGGAATTTTAAATGCATGAGTTTGAAGAGCATCTAGTTTTTATTTCAGTCTTTAAGAGTAGCTTTTGTGTGTCAGGAGAAATAAAAAAAGAACTTAACATTTCAGTGGATATATCTTGTAGGGCTGAATTATGGAAGCCACCATTTATTTGTCTCCTTACATCAATGGAATGAGCCTAACCCAATCTGATGGTAGGATACTGCAAGGTTGATACACTGTGTCAACCTGAGAAGTTTAGAAGCCTCACTAAGTAACTCAGCAGTTTTGCATCCTAGGGTATAGAGGACATGCTCTAAGGCAGCTGTTTACACTCCAGGATGTTGTAGTGGTTGATTCATTGTGTCAACTTGAGAAGTTTAGAGGTTTAACTAAGTGAGCCATCACGGGGCCAGTGAACATCCTGAGCCTGTGTAAGAGGAGGTCGTGGAGGGCTATACCTGCCTCAGGGTGGGTAGCCTGAATATAATATAAGGGAGGAAAAGGGGCTTGCTTCCCAATTTAGCCATGGCTAAATGCTCCCTAGCATACATGTGGTGATGGTTACCACTTTGGAATCAGACAAAACTTCTTAAAAGATAAATGTAATGAAGTTACTCTTCAAAGGAACATTGAAACATATAAACAAGAAAAGTAGATTACTTCTTTCTCCTTGATCAGTCTTATTAGAAGTTGGTAAAAGTTGAATCCCAACTGTACTTTAAGCCTTTGGGCTTTGGGTAAGTTATGTAACCTCTTTTTGCTCTGTCTCTTCATAAAATGGGAATAATAAACGCAGCTGTGCTGTAAGGCTTCACTGCGGTGACATGAAAGGAGCCTCATCTGGGTAACATGCACCCAAAATGACCTTTACTATGGGATCAGGATTCTCCTTGTTACATGTACTCCAGAAAGCTGATGCAGGACTGAGGAATGAGACATATAGGAAACACACAGCTTACAGCACATTCCAGGAAGAACCTACTGACAGAGCCATCGGAAAGGGAACAACTTGCTCACAGGTAGCGATTCCTGGGGTGAGCTCTGGGCATTGCCAGGGCAGGAAATAGGAGACTCACTCATCAGGAAGTTTGGGGTAATTACCTCTGAGTCCCCTTCTAAATATGACTTTCAGCACTGCCAAATATTATAGGCATGCTCTTTACATTTTTCTTCATTTAATATCTATTTGAAGATATACTTGTTTCTTCTGAGTGTGATACCACACTGTCCCCTTTGTGCAGGGCGGATCGCAGTTCCAGAACATCCCTGAGGTTCCAGCTACCCTAAGTTTGCCCAGTGGAGGGTTGCTTTTGGTTTTACTGGAGACCCTGTGGTCCAGGAAGCTTTCACTCTGTGCAGTCATCATAGTGGCTCAGGGTCTCCACTTGCCATGGATTTAACAGTGGGACAGCAGAGAGATTTCAGAGTCCTTAACTGTCCCAAGTCAGAGCTGCTGCCCTTTTAGAGCTGACAACCTAATGAATCTCTTTTAGCAAAATCATTAACAATGAAGAAGGGTATCTTTGTGCAGCGTGTTGGTGCTAATGAGTTTTTCATGCTTTAAACAGTCTGCACTGGAGAAGGGTTAGCAGAGCACACTGGATTAGGCAGTGTTCCAATTACATTCGGTCATTTATTAATTCCATTTTGGTCATGTTGACAAGTTTGCACTTTGTCCTCCCTCCTTCACTTTTATTGAAATATTTAAAATATTTTCAGATTTGAATAGCCATGCATTAATCATTAACTCTAATGCTTAATTTATTAATGCCTCCTGAGCCACACTTATATCATTGCTTCCAGGGTAATGACTGTTTTCATTCCAAAGGCTGCGTACCTATGTGTGCTTGGGGTTGCCAGGAAGAATGGGCAGAGATGTTCCCCATTCCTAAGGAATTCTGATTCCAGATACTTACCCTTGCCTGGGAATATATGGTGCTAAATGGAATCTTCACACACCCTAACCAGTGTCTCTCAATCCGAGTGTGGATGCCACTTCCTCTTTCCCGATCATCCTAAAGGAAATGTGTGGGGTGGTAGAAATTATTTAAGAACTCCAGGCATGCATTTAGTTACTTTTTCACTTCATTTCTTCAATCTCATGCAGACTGTTTAAAGAAAGCAGCAGGATTTTAGCTAAAAGGTCTGACTTAGATTAGACAGACCCAGGTAAATCCTGGTTCAGATACTTAACAGCTTTGTGAACCTAGGAGTCTTTCACTGTCTTTGAACTTCAATTTTTTCATCAATCAAGTGCAGCTTCAATAATGTACTTCATGGGATTATTTTAGAATCAAATAAGATGATGCATATAAAGCATCTCTTACAATTCCTGGAACAGAGCGGACACTTGCCCCATGTCATTTCCCTACTTATCCATGTCAAGTCTCAAAACATTTAAAACATAAGAAAGCTGGGAAATGTGTCTGAGACTTCTACTGGGATCAAGATATGACAAGTACAGAGTTCAGGTGTCTTCCTTAAAACTGAGAACTCACCTCTAAGATATCGTGCAGCACTTCATCAAAAATGTTAATGAACACATCGTCTTTTACCGACTGTAAACTGGCTGTACTGTAATCCCCATTAGGGGCCCTGCAAAATAACACCGGAGCAGGGACCATGAGAACAAAGAAAACAGAAGTAATGAGATGTAAATGTCAACGTCTGAAAATACCCAAGTACAAGGCACCAAGCAGAGAGGCAGCACCTTCTTCCTTCCTTTTTTTTTTTTACCAGGGATTGAACTCACGACCTTGAGATTGCCAGGCAGGCACTTAGGCTGCTAAGCTAAATCTCTGCCACTTCCCTTTAAGACAGGCTCTCACCATGTAGTTCAGGCTAGCCCTGAACTCCTTATGTAGTTCAGCTTGGCCTCAACATGCAGGGATCCTCCTGCCTCAGCCTCCTCAGCACTGGGATTGCAGGTGTGTCCCCCAGGCCTGGCTATTAAAGGCAGGGCTTTCATTTCCAGAACCTGTCTTGCACAGTGAGAAGGTCAGATAGTAACCACCCTCCACTGCAGAGAGCACCAGACTGGAGACTGCAGAGCGGACTCCTCTGCTGGCTTGCTCTTGTGAATCTTGGTTTCCCCCGAGCTCACAGTAAGGCAGGATGGAGCTGGCACAGTGCAAGGCCACAAGGTCTCCTGCTGACTCTGGGGTCAGTTGTGGCCTTGCTTGCTCAGCTCTGGGCCCTGAGGGTGCTTGTCCAGCAGAAGGGGCCCCAGGAGTCAGTCTCACTGATGGCTGAATGCACCCTCCCCTCCACCCACTTTCTCACACACCAGGAAACCAGCACAGGAGCAGAGGCCTTCCTGGAGGGCCAGGCATTTGCCTTTAAGTGGACTCATTCTCTCTGCTTGGTCCCCTGCTCACCCTGCTCAGTTTCGAAGTTCCTGCGTGGCTTTTAGGACTTCACTTTCCCTTTAGGGATATTTGTTTCTTCTCTATAAAAGCAGAAGGTCAGTTCCTTTAAGTGCTAAAATAATAAAAATCATTAAAATAGCTAGAATTCTTGGATCAGAGTTGTGGAATGCTTGTTTATTTTTGGCAAAGACAAAAATGTCATTTAGGGACTCTAGAGAGTTTTAGTTTTGCTTAAGGACAGGACCAGAGGAAGGAGGGAAAAATGGGGCAGGGTTGGTGAAATCAGGTGGTAAAAGATTTGTGATTCAACAAGCCAAGCCTGTCGGGCTTGATGGTGCCTGCCTGTAATCCTAGCACTGTGGGAGGCTGAGACAGGAAGATCCTAAGTTCAAACCCAGCCTGAGCAATTTAGCAATTTTGTGAGACTCTATCACAAACAAATAGGTAAACAACAACAGCAAAAAAGCCACAGCCTAAGGGAGCACAGAGTATCCCACCATGACCCCAAGTTTCAGACACTAGACACTTGCATATTTATGGAGCCACCTGTGGTCAAGAGACAACAGAAGGCTTGGTTCAGGGCACCTGGTTCCTGTTCCAGCTTTCCACTGTCCGCCTCTCACCTCAGGCATTTCTCACTGAGCCTCTGTGTCTTTACACTCAAGTTCTTTAAAAGAGAACCATGCTTACCTGAATGGAAATTCAAGTTCTTCATTCCAGCTGGGGTTGGGTCCTTCAGCGGTGGTTGTGTGGCAAATCGTTCGTTGAAAAGAGACTTCCACAAAAGGACGCACTGAAACCTTACAAACAAGCACAAATCCTGCTTAGCTGAGTTATTCAGTTCTTAGCAGAGGGAGCCTATGCTTACTAGTGTATTTCAAAAATAAAACGAAGCAGAAAGCAAGGCTGCTCCTGAAGGCCATGGGCTGCACGGATCCGCACCCAGCACCTGGCTCTCACCTGGCTGAGGGGGGTGTCGGGGCTGTGCGGGGGGCTGTGTGCCCCCGGGGAAGCCGCATGCCTGTCACTGAAAGTCCTCGAAGACCTCGCCGGCTGCTGGGATTTGCTGGGAGGGAAGACGTATAAAGGCATGAGTGACAAGGTGCGTCTGCTGATCCAAGGAGAAGCTGGTTTCTTCAGAGAGGCTCAGCCCTGGCAGCTGTGGGGAAAGCCACTCTTCCTAAGCTTGGGGGTATCTCTGATTACGTGGGCATCCCCAGCTCCCTCTCCAGGCCTGCATGTCTGGTGAGGACAGAGCAAAGGCCCCTTCCCTCCTGCCCTGTGGTAGGCGTCTGGGAAGACCTGTCTTTCCCATGAGTGAGCCTAATCCCTAGCAGGCAGCAGAAGCCTGGCCAGCTGCCCTGTGTCCAGGCAGTTTCAGTTTTCTCTGCCATACTTTGTTTGAATTGCGCTCTCCAGCTTGAGTTGAGACATAGGTCCAGGCCAGGAATTCTTCCCGGGCCTTCGCAGTCTTATTGGGAAGAGGAGGCTGGGAACCCCAGCTTGAGTTGAGATCACTGGGTCTTACTCCTTTCTCCCCCCGCCCCACCTTTTTTTGCTTTTCAAGACAGAGTGTTGATCATTCAGGCCAGTCTTGAATTCATTTGGCCTCAAACTTGCAGGGATCCTCTGCCTCAGTTTCCAAGTGCTGGCATGACAGGGAAGTACAGGATTACCACCATGCCCAGGTCCCTTCTCCCTTTTAATCTGCCATTCATACAGGGACAAATGAAGGCCCCTTTCAGAGAGCCTCACCAGATGCCTCTGCCTCAGGATCCTAACTACCCACTGGCATACGCTGTGCTGCATTTGATGGTTTGCCAAGTATTTTGCATTCATTCCTGAGCAACGTGCAAAATGTCTCTTCCTACCAGGAGGTCCCCTTCTCACAGCAAGGTCATGGACGGACTGAGACAGAGCAAGTGAAACATTCAACACTGCACCTGCCAAAGAAAACCCTCCACTCTTGGGAAAACTGTAAATTGCTTTATGAAACAAACAAATGCAAGTACGTGCTTTTTTTTTTTTTTTTTTTTGAATCTATGCTAGACTTGGGATGCAGAAACAAACAGGGCAATGCTTCAGCTCAGGCAGGCACGTGGCAGTCTCCAGGTGAGGTAACACGCTAGGCTGGAGGAGTGGCATGGTTATAATAGCAGAGAGACTGGTCAAAATCCCTATTTGGTGGAGCACGAGGGTGGAGGTAAAGATTTGCGTGAGCTCAATGGAGAAGTCAATGTCTGAACTATCTTGCTGCATCTACACTGAAACTTGTAAGTCAAACACACTTTCTTGAACTATTTGAATCAGTGGTTTAACATGTAAGAATATTATATACAGACAAAATAAAATGGAAGGAACACCTCTCTGTTCCTTAAAAACAAACAACAAAACAGCTTTTCACTCTGGAGTTGAGCTCTGATGCCCTCAGGGTGGGAGGGCTGGGGGCATCTTCAGGAACAATGGAAGATTCCAGGCCTCATGTAGACCCTTACAGGAACCAAAGCATTGAGAACAGCTGGTGCCGAAAAATCAGTCAGTGAAGAAAAACTGGGCAAAATAATTGGGTGAGAGAATGATGGGTAAAGAGTAAAAGAGGAGGAAAGAAAATGCCAAAGGTCAGGCTGGCCTTGAGCTCACTTGGTAGACCAGGCTGGCCTCAAATTTGCCACGATCCTCCTGTCTCAGCCTCCCTAGTGCTGGGATTACAGGCGTGTGCCACCATGCCTGGCTGAAACTGTAATTGTTGGTTGTTCTGTTCCTGGTCTCTGAGTGGATAAGAAACTCAGCCTCATCTCACCTGCCCGAGGACCCCCTTGCCCCCAGGGTAGTGAGCCAGGGTGGTCACAGATGACAGGAGGGAAACTCTGGCATCTGCCCAGCCCACGCCTGCTGCTCAGTCCCCACATGTGTGGCTGTAGGGGACAGGACTGCGGATCCACACCTAACCCCTCAGCACCTTCAGCTTCTCTCTTGAGGGGACAATGCTTGGCTGCAGGAGCACTTCCACCTCCTGAGAGAAAGCAAACTCGGAGGGAAGCAGGGGACAGCGGAGCCTTAGGAAGACATCAGTCCAGCCCCTGCAGGCCACCGTGCAGTCGGCTATACCTCTAGATCTCGAGTTCCAGGGATGTCCCCAGCCTGGGACGGCTGTCACTTATCACTGTGGCAAGGACCCCTGGCCCCTGGGCAAAGCAGCCCCGTGGGACAGGGATGAGCACCGGCTCACCTGGCTGGGGGCTTTCTCACGGGGATGTCGTAGGCCCTGCAGATGTTCACCAGCAGCTTTATGTCCCCGTCAGACAGGTTCTGGGCCGTCACCTTCTTCCGGCCTTTCCGCCTTGGCCTCAGTGGGCGCTTCTGTTCTGCTAGCTTGAAAAGGCTTAGGCCCAGAATGCTAATGATTACAGAACTCGATTAGGATGCAGAGGAAAGGAGGTCCCGAAAACTGCGCGATGGCTTCCCAGACTCTGCCCCGGTGTCTCCCAAGGGCCTTTGAGAACGCTGCCCTTTTAAGGAGTTTGGAGTAGTTTACTAATTCTGCTGAACGGGCGGATGCCCCTTCTTGGGTGCTTAACATTGATTTCATGAGAGCTGGGTCCTGGCCGTGCCTCAGTCTCCCTCCTTGCCCTCTGCCTCGCCCACCCAGCAGCCCCTCCCTGCCTCGTGCCTTGTGCAGGCCCAGCCTTCCCCTCTGCTCCTGCCCATCCCTCCCTCCAGTGGGTGGCATCTTACACATCCCATGTCCCACATGGCCCCCCCAGAATCCCCTGCCTCAGAGCTGGCAGAGCCATTCCCTCCTTGGCCTCTTCCACTCAGCCTGCTCCACACGCAGGGTGGACCTGGGACTTCTCCATCTCAGGGTACAGGGATCTGGGTGCAAATCCTGGCCCCACTCTACCTCGGGACAGGTTATTTCACCTCTCTGAGTCTCTCTTTCCTCATCTGCAAAATGGGCTCCCTAATACCTCCCCCTTGTAGGGTGGATGAGGACTGACTGTGCTGGGGTGCCCTCCATGGATGCCCTGCTAATTGCAGCTGTGCTGGGGGGAGGCAGAGACTGTGGGGCTAGTGACTGTGTGGAAGAAGAGGAGGAGAATCCTCCTCTGTCTCTCTCTACCTTTCACAGAGATGATACGCAATAAAAACTCCTGGAAAGATGAAGCCAAAAACGCCAGTAATCACAGGAGAAGTCTTGGGAGCATATCAGTTCTGGGCCAGAGACTAAACAGAAACACAGACGTGACACTGTGTCTGGAAGCTGACACCAGTAACTGCCCAACAGCCACAGAACAAGGCCAGCTGTGCAGCGCCTTCCACCGGCCGCGGGACTCCTGGTTGTCTGCTTCCCTGCTGAGCCCTGATGTGGGCAGCAGCCCCGGTCTGCTGGCTCTTCTGCTGGAGGTGCCCAGCAGCTGAGGCTGGGGGCCCTGCTGCCTTCTCTGGGTGCTCAGGGGTCCTGGGGATTTTTAGGTGTGGCTTGTGTTGGTTCTGCAGGGTCTATGAGCAGAGGTGCTGTTTGTTATAAGCACCTTCTGTGTAGCCGGAAGAGAGCTAGCACCTACCTAGTATGTTTCTAATCCTCACAAACATAGTATTTATCCCACTTTTCAGACAAAGAAAAGAAGGCTCTGAGAGGTGCTAGGATTTGCTGAAGGTCATGCAATTTTGCTTTTTTTCCATAAGAAAATGAAGTATTAGGAGAGGAGTTGGTGTCAGACCAGGGCCACTGACTACACACTGCCAGGACAGAGTCACTCCACCAGGACCTGCCTACCCCAGCTTGGGGACCTCACCAGCACAGCCCTGTGCCCCAGTGAACAAATCCCTCTTCTTATCGACCTCCCCCCACCAGGTGACCCCTCCTAGGGGACCTCGATGCCTCCATAGCAATTTCCAGAGCACCATGCTGAGTGGACCATTGCATAGAGAGACATCTTAGGGGAAAGCCAAGAACAAACTGAAATTAAAAGAAAAGAATGGACATACCCTGAGCCTTCAGAACTTAATGCAGAAAGTAAAGCAGAAAAACAAAACAAAACAAAACAAAAAAAAAAAAAGAAAAAGAAAAAGAAAAGAAGGAAAGAAAGGAAAAACAGCATGAAAAATCACCATCTGTTGTAATTGTCATTTTCTTCACTAAACATTCAATGACTAAGCTTTGGGCATGGACTAGGACAGGGGTTTCCCATAAATTCGTGGGGATATCGCCTCTCTTCTACACAGGTTGCCATCAGTAGAACCTTGTCTGATAGTTTGTTTATTTATTACTTATGACTCCTTCCCAGCTTGATGGTGGTGAGGAAGCACATACACAGGAAATAGCCTTTTCAGGAGACCAAGAGGTTTGATCATAGAAAAGGTCATGAGGTGAAGGGGCCCCTCGAGACCATCACTATGGAAAGATGTCCTGCACCTTTTATTCATCCATCACTAGCTGAGGATTATTCTAAATAACAGGATGTGGAGCAAGCAAATACTGTCAGTTTCTAACTTCCTGGGAAATATCCGCATTTTCCTGCTGCCCTTCACCCACACTGTGCCCCTGGGCTGGAGTCCTGAGGCCGGGCCTCCCTGGAGACCCCAGAACTTTGGAGTCCCCTCCTGCGCTGTAAGATGGGAGGGCTTCGGCAGCCTGGCCTTGAGAGGCTAAGTGCATGTGCAGGAGGACTGGGTTCTGGACCCAAAAACAGTGAAAACCAGGGAGGTTGCCTTGGAAATACAGGTAGGAGAGACTGTTACTTGTTCTAACAGAAATTCCCCAATTAATGTCACCACAATGCACTGTTGTGGACCCAAATGTATAGCACGTAATGATTTTTATACTGTTTGGTATTTTTAATTTATCACATATATGTATAACTTTTATGATAAAGAACTCATAGAACAAATAAATAGCTTGAATTAGGGAAACAGAAGGAGTATCTTGTTTTGTTCAGATTCTACAGAGTTCCCGGTTAAGTTAGCAAAGATTGATCATGCAAGCATTCAGGGTAGCTAGAAGTCAGATATCGTGCTTTTCTTAAGCATTTGGGTGTTTTCACTTGTGAAGAGAATTGTCATATTAAACTCTGATTGAAAGAGAACATTATCTTTTCTTTGTCCTCCTGACCTTCCCACCGTGAAAGTACAAAGAACACTGCTCCTTCTGTCTGGAGATATTCCAAGACCCCTAGTCGATGACTGAAGCCCCAAATAATACTGAAGTACACACACTTATATATTTTTTTCTGAGGCATGCATATCTATGATAAGGTTTAAGGTAAAGTGAATCATGGTATGGGATTAACAACAACACTAAAATAGAGCTGTAATAAAAGTTAGATGAATATGGAAAAATCTTATATGACATCATTCATCTTATAGAATAAAAATAAAGACTTTTATAGGAAATAATAATGGCTTGGTTTAATTATTCTTACCTCATATTGGGAACTTCTTCTTCTACTACCAAGTCAGAAAGAAGAAAATGGTGTTTTGCAATTAGGAAACGATTCACTACTGATTCTCTAACCTGGGGAAGAAATCAGCTTTAGTTAAAAATATCTTTACTGCCCACCTCCTTGGCGCCTTTGCCCACCCTCGCCTAAGTGTTCTCTGCCCTCCAACTGCTACTTTTTGCAGTCCTGGTTTCCTCTTGCAGTAAATGCTGTAATTTCTCACCCATAGCTTGTAAGTTCCCTGAAGGCTTTCAGGAAGCTCGACAAAAGCTAGTAAACCTTCGCTGTGTGAATGCTTTAGGATTGCAAAAAAATCAGACTGGACTCAAAGAACATGGTTCAGAATTGATTCTTGTTTTTCCTCTATGCAAAATGATCAACTTTCTAATTTCAATAAAAGATCTCTTAACTTCTATAAATTTTTTGTGTGTAGGGGTTCACGAACCACAGGGTAGATAAACTAGATAGGAAAAAATGCCTGGTAATTATAATAGCATTCCTTAAAGTTTACTGAAGGTGGGAAAGAAAAAAATGGAAAAAAGGGAAAAAGGATAAACAAAAGAATGTTTCAACTTTAATTTTCAGTTTTCTAGCGCAAAAAAACCAGTTAGCTTTTAGTTAAAAAAATTTTTTTTCTAACTACTGTGGTAACCATTGTAATACAATGCAATGTAAGTACAAACATTCAAATATTAAAAATTGAGTCGTCTATAATCATAGCCCATTTATATTTGCTGTAATAAATCACAACATGTCCTAATAGTTTCATATATTACCGATTTCATATTTGTATTTATCAGAAAATAAATCAAGAGGTTAAGCTTGTCAATGGTAATACAGATATTTACAGAGCAGAGAGCTTTCCACCCAAGAACGCTTACTCCTTCTCCCCCAGTAAAGCCCGCTTTAAAGCACCCCCCCTCACCTGCTGAAGGTACTTGGCTACTATAGCCCGGTGGGTGTCTATGTGGTCCTTGGTTTCAATTACACTTTTGTCTCGTAACCGCTTCTCATAGTCCTAAAACAAACGGAGTAGTATCAAAGTCTTATGATTTTAAAGTACTCTCTGTTGCTCCTCTTGGGAACAGGGAATTATTTATCAACATGGCTTTGAAGTCACAAAGGAGGGTTGTAAATGTTTCTCCTAAGTTTTGGTTCATAATGGATCTTGGATGTGGTATTTAGGACTCTGAGTCACGGTCAGGTGATGGAATAGCCTTCCTAGTAGTAGGATATTTAAGTTAAGTGTTCATGCAGGAAGGAATAGAAGCCACAGAAGAAACGAAGGGACATACAATTCAAGATGCTTAGCTTGTCAAGCAACTTAACTAAAGCCCCTGCTTACGTTCTGTCTTAGCTATTTTAAGTACAGCAATTACACAAACAGTGGAGCGCTCCATTGCAAACATTCCCATTAGCACACGATATCTGCCCGGAGCTGTTGGCTCTGTCTGCCTAGCCCTCTCCTTTTCTGTCATTGAGACAGAGTGGGTGCCCTTGGGAACGGCCACATTCTTTTTTATGTCCAGTCTCTGTCCAAGATGAATGGCCAGCAGTGGCTTCTAACCCAAGCTTGGTGATTCAGAGTTGTTCCCCAAGACTTTTGAACCTGGGACTAGAGGTCATCTCCATTCCTACTGGGGAAAGCTACCAAATGTAAACTTGGAGAGGTTGGTGACTGTGGGACCGAGTGGACAGATCCCGTCTGCAGGAGGGGAGAAGGCAGCCACCACATCAGCAGCCCAGCCAGGATGGAGAAGGTCCTGGCAGCGGGCAGGCCCTACATCCTGGGGTTTGGGCGCAGGTGGCTGCCTGCAGTCGCTTGTCTTTAGACGTTCAATACTAATTTGGAATTAAATATCAATAAACTTCCACTGGTGTCTGAAGTTGTTCCAAATTGAGTTTTCATCCCTTAGGATCACAAATGCAAGCCACTGGTTGGTAGGAAGAACCAACTAAAAATATTCACCAAGAATAGTGTCTGCATGAAAAGAAAATTATTCTGCACGAAAGGGATTAAAATCCAAGAAAAATAATGGATAGACTATATGTAAGTATGCTATAAAAGAAAAGCTAATTTTGATACTGAGAACATCAGCAAAGACAACCACATCACAGACAACCACATACCAAATGCCACAGCAAATATTGTATTCACTCTTCTCGGGAAATTTCTTACCTGGAATACTTTTTCCAAGATTTCTCGGTCATATGCCGGGATTTGCTTATAATTTCGGAATTCCGGTACCTCTTGGCTTCTGAGACAAAGAAGCCTGAATCGTTTGGATCTATTTAATTCCTCACTGGTGACAAAATTAAACTCCTGCTGCAGCTGCTCCAGTCGAAAGAAATCAGGCACATAGGATTCCCCACTGGTAGCAATCTATAAAAATCAGAAAATGCAAAACTCCAGACAACAGGAATATTTCATCCAAAGAAACCCAGCACTGGGCTCTTGGTAATCTTTAACAGTTCTAGACCGAAAGTTTTGAAAGACAAAAACTTATAATCATAAAGAGGCAGATGGTATTATATTCACTTAGAAGTTCTAAAAAGTACCATAAATCATTTTTCCAAAAACAGGAATTCTCAGTTTCATTTCTTGTGTGCATGATTCTATAACAATGTTGCGATACAATGTGATAAAATTATAGAGACTGAAATAAAGGAAATATTTGGACATATTTCAGTGCATGAATCAGCACCCCCTAGAAGAAAGATTACTCACGTGCACAGCACATGTGAAATCCACACAGTGGGCAGCTTTTGCACGTGTTTGTGCATTAGTTAAATAAAGGCATGAGTCGGCTGGTTGGCTTCATTTGGCTGTGTGTCTGTCCTTCCTGTCTGAACAGCATCTCAGGAACTTGGTCATAGAGAAAAGTAAGCTGGAGGTGGACAACAGGGAGCCCACTTCCAGGGCCCCACGGAGGCACTGAGTCTGCGAGGCATGGGCTGCACGCTGCCCAGGAGCCGCCTGCCTCTGCTCCGTGCTTTGCAGTGTGACCTCCTCCTGACCAGAGGGAGACCAGACAGCAGAGACGTGCTGGGGCCTCTGGATGGGAAAGGGAACGCTGCTTTATGCTGGGGGTGGTTCTGGTCCGTAACAAGTGTTATGGTTTATATCTAGATGTTCCCCCAAAGCTTCCACTGTCATAGCGGGGAATTTTGAAGGTGGCTGGGTTAGAGTGTGTGAGTATGGGTTAAGGGAGTGATGCTGAGATGAAGGGCGCCCCACACTGTGTGTGGGTGGCAGCATTCACAAGGTCTGTAGACTGCATGTAATATCAAGGAAGAAAAAAAAAGGTTGCTACTGCTTGCTGCCTTGTGCCTGCCCTGCCATGGACTGCTTCTCCTCTGCCATGCTTCCCTGCCCTGGAGCCAGCCAACCATGGACTGAAACCTCTACAAACTGTGAGCTAAACAAATCTTTTCTCCTTTAACTGTGGGTTTCAGGTGTTTTGTCTCAGCAATGAGGAAAGTAAGACCACAGGAGACCAGTCAGGAAGGCAATCCTCGTGCTCACTTAAAGATCTCTTAGAATATCCTATCGTTACGTTAGAGATGAGGAAAAAGCTTGTACTCTGACATCAGACCATTTATTAGCTGTGTGACTGCCCGTAACGAACTGTGGGTTTCTGGACTCAGCTTCCTCTCTGTGGAACTGGGAGATAAAACCTGTCTTAGGGGCTTTTACAGAAGTCACAGCTAAGAGTGACAGGGACAAGACCCAGCATTTATTGCAGGGAGCTGCACCCGGCTGAGCATCTACAGGGCTCCCATAGCCAGGTAAGCAGCAGAGCTGGGACTCCAGCTGTCACTCAGCACAGCACTCCTGTCATTGCACAGAACTGCGCAGGAGCACAGGGTGTGCCACACAGGGCCCCCTCTGTTACCGAGATCAGCTGCATCAGAGGGGCGTTGTTGGGGTCATTCGGGTCCAGCTTGGACTCAGCTGCCCACTTGGCCAGCTTCTTCATGTCCGTTAGTCCTGATGTGCCGATTGATGAGATGGCATCTGCTCTCTTCAATGCACTGGAAGGAAAGAAAGAAAAAGAGGAAAACAAAGGTGGTTCGATTCTATAAGGCTTGCTTTATCACCCACAAGTCTGCTTCGGGGTCACAAAACCCCAGGGCACTGCCTAAGGAAGCTCTGACCCTCCGTGGGAGAGGGTCTCATCCCAGGCACCTGTGCCAGGCTTCTTGGCTTGCTGACCACTACCAAATGCATCACAGGGCAGTGAGGAGGGGACAGAAGGGAGGCGACCTGCCGCACAGCTATGTGCTCACCCTGGGTCCTGGCCAGGGAAGAGGAACTGCGGTATGTGTGGCCCAGGACACCCGTGGGGACACTGGAGCTGAGGACAAAGCTAAATGGAAGCCCAGCTTTCCCTAAACCCCGGCTCTGGACAGGGCATCCGAAAGGAGCCAGGGTGTCAGGGCCGAGGCATGTCAGTAGCTCAGCCCATCGCAGCCTCTACCAAGGAGCTGGTAGCTGTAACCCGCCAGAGGTGTCGCCAGCACCGATCTTGAGAGAGCTGGGGCAGAAGGCCCCTGCCAGTGCCGGCCACACCTGCACGGAGGCACTCAGAGACCAGGCCTGCCAGGGGCCTGCACCCAGGGGCACACAGGGCCTGAAGGGGCCAAACAAGTCCTGTCCTGACTTCCACGCATTGGAAGCAAGGTCTCTGACTTGGAAAGTGTTTTCTCCACGATCAGAATAAATCCTCACACTTCGGAGTGGAAGCAGCTGAGGTTTGGGATAGTAGAGGATGCTTGCGATGAGACTCTGGGGAGACCGCAGAAGGAGCCCCTCGGGGCCAGTGCTGTGCAGAGAGGGCCCCTGGGGGCCCTGGGAGGGCTGAGCTGTCTTTGGTGCTGAACAGGGGCTGGGGGTCGGCGTGGGAGGTGCTGGGGAGCTGGGGCCTTTGGGAACCGGAAGTTTCCGTGCTGCTGGTCCTGGGCAATGCGTCTTTCTGGCAGCAGGATAAGTGTACAGGCCCTGTCCTGCACCTGCCTCAGCTGGGGAAGTGGGGAGAGAATCTCCACTGTGCTTCCTTGCAGCTTCCACGGAATGCCTTGGAATGCCTTTCCCCACCATGAACACAGACAAGCACCCAGTGTTTACCAGGCTACTGCTATTTATTTGCATTTTGCCCTAAGGGTAATACCCTGAATACACCAGCACCTGACCATGGAAGGAACCCACAGGCTCTTGCAAGCTCCCTGCCCCTAGGGAGGAGAGGGGTTCAGCACTCTCACTGACCTTGCCCACCACGAGCCGAGCCCAGCCTCTCCCTACCTCCGGAATCCAAGGCTCTGCTGTGATGGTGGAGGAATCAGTGGGGTGCCGTTGTCCCCTGTGGCCCACGCCACACTGTGGGACACTCTCCCCGAGGTCATGAGAATCAGCTGGTTACTGCCATCAGCTTCGAAGGAGAAGGGCACGCCTAGGGTACATCAGATGGAACAGGGAAGGGGTTAGCAAGGAGGAGAGACCTGGAGGAGGAATGGGACTTGGGGGCTGAGGGGCCAGCTCCCCGCCCTCTCTCCCACAGCACACTCTGCCTACTACCCTGACGCAGTCTCCAGGGGGCCCACCATTTGCATATTTAGGCTCTTCCTAAAACAACTGTGTGTCCCTGCCCAAATTACTTACCTTCTCTGAGCCTTAACTTTTATGTAAACAAGGGAAAATAAGAGGGCCCATTTTGAAGATATTTATTTGTTCATGTATTAAGGGTACTTATTTGAGCGACTGCTTCATGCCTGCTACTGTTGTAGGCACTGAACGTGGCAGTAAAGTAATAAAACTAATAGAAATCTTTATTTTAAACAAATATCACTTTTTCATGGAGTTCATATTTGAGTGGTGGGCGGGGAAAGAGGCAAGAAATGTGTAAATAAGAGAAATTCGAGTTGGGTACGGTGACACATCTTTGTAATCCCAGCACTCAGGAAGCTGAGGCAGGACATTGTCAAAAGTTCAAAGCCAGCCTGGGTTACACAGTGCGATTCTGTGTCAAACACATTGTGTACTGTAGGAAGTGAGGATGTCATGAATTTTCAGATGGAGTGAGCAGACAGCCTCGGTGAAGGGACCTTTGACTCCACAGCTGAAGCACATTAGGAAGAGAGATGCAGATGTGGGAATGCAGGTTCCTGGTGGAAGGGGTGTGTGCCAGGAGCACGTGTGTGTGAGGCAGGGTTTGCAGAGTGACTGAATGTTAAGTACTTCGGGCCTGGCATACAGTGAACACACAATAGATGTTCTAAGTGATTATGGGTGGTCACAGACTTGGTCTCCACCAGTTGGAAATGAATGATAAAAACTCTATGGGAAGAAAAGGAACAAAAGATTTCCAAGTATTAAGTATAGTAGCCAATGGTACGGATTTCCAGTTACCACCACTAACATAAGATATTCTCACTATTTGTTATGGTTGATATGAAGTTTAAAGGTCTAACTAAACCACACTTGGGAGCCCTGACTTTGTAAACTCCTCTTCCTGTGCAAGAGAAGGGCAAGGAGATTTGCGAGTGCTGCTCCTGCCCTGTGTGTGTGGGGTGTGGCCTGTGTGTATTATAGGGGAGGACACAGGCTTGCTGTCCACTCCGCTTTGGCTCCTGTTGCTTAGCTATCTTCAGCCACCGTGAACTACTGCCCCTGAGCCATGCCTCCCTGCCTTGCAGCCAGCCGAGTAGGAACTGAAACCTCCAGGAAGTGTGAGCTAAATAAACCTTTCCTTCCTTCATTTTGGGTGCCGGGTATTTTGTCTCAGCAAAAGAGAGAAAAGTAACCAAGACACTGTTCCACTGTAGTAGCATTTTTGTTTTTCAAATCTTTCCTTCATTCTGAACACCTGATTTTTATCTCCTGCGTACTCCTATGCAGCCTTAAAGGAGGCACCATGAAATCCAAATACTGAATGAAGAAGATAATATTCAAAGAGGTTCCACGACTCTACAGCTACTAGGGTTACACAGCTTGAGGGTGCCAGTGCTGGCTACTTTATATGGGAGATTGGCTTTGGCCCTTAGAGAATTCTTGAAAAAGTGGTTTCAGATATGAACTAAAAATTTAGAGCCACCAGAGACATGAGAAATCAAGCCATTACAACTAAGAGGTGGCAGAACCAGACCAATACCCAGACAGGTATTGGAATTCTCAGATATACATTACTTAAACATTTTTAAATATATTCAGATAAAATGAGTGAGTGAAAAAAAATGATTGAAATTCTGAAGAAAGAACAAAAGGCAACAAGAACTGGCCAAACTGATTAGAAAAGAATTAAATAGATTGTCGAGCACTGAAAAACACAAGTGGGAAAAAAGATGATAAATTCCAAAGATTAGATACTACCGAAAAGTGAATTCAGGACTTGGAAGGCAGTTTTGAAGAAATCACATAAAAGGTAGCAGTGAAATAAAATGATATCAAATACATTAAAGACAGGTTAAGAAACCTTGGGGGAGCTGGACACAATAGCCACATACACCTATGGGAGGCTGAGGCCAGAGAATCCCAAGCTCAAACCCAGTTTAGGTAACTCAACAATTTAGTTAGACCTTGTCTCAAAATAAATAGATAAATGAATAGGGCTAAGAATTTAGTTCAGTGTGAAGCTCAGATTCAATCCCCAGAAAAGAAAGAAGAGGAAGAAGAAGGAACATGGAACATATAGTGAGTGGGTCCAACATATACCTTGTTAGAATTGTACAAGAGGATAAGATAGAATATTAATGAATACTCTATAATAATTAAAATTATAATATTTCAGCCTTGTGTCACCATGATGTATGCTTTTATGCCCAATCTTTATCCTCATGTCATATTATTTCCTTATACAAGATATATAAAAGGGACCAAAGGGCATTTCAAAGGTCCTTTATCATTCTGTCAAATTACATAATAGTTACATAGTTACATGCATTTACATGGCTAATAACAGTGTATAAAAATTGGCTTGGAAAAATAACCATGCCATCACTGTCTGAATTTCTGATAGAATTTTTGTAATTATCTAGTTATCTGAGAAGTGAAACAAAGATTCAGCTAAACCACGAGCCACCGCAGATAATCAGCTTTCCTTACCACTTCCGACTCCCTCGTGGTCCAGGGTCACGTGCTGGCTACTGCTGAACTCCACCTCCTCCACGGGAGCCCTTCTAGTGACAGTGGTGGTCTCAGGGATGGGCAGGAAGACTTCTGCTAGCAAGGTGGTGCTGCTGTGGCCAACCGTCTCGTAGACCTGAAACCCAGAGAAGGGAAGCTGCCGATAGAAACAGCACAGGATGTCCTCGGTTCTCAGATCATCAGTCCGCACCGTTGATACTTCTTGCAGCCCCGAGGCCATCTCAGAACGGAGAGTTGAGTTGCGTTACTGTGGTCCCACAGAGATCAGTTTGATTTACACTAAATAAATGGCCAGGTTGTTGATTCTTATTTTCTTGTCCACCTTAATCTCTGTGGCAGGGGAGGTTAATCAGAGTTGCAGCTACTACCGTTGTTTCTATTCCAAAACAGCACACAGGTTACTCGGGGGAGTGAGTTTCCTCTTTCTCCTGGTTGCCTTCACAGAACAAGGCTACCAGGAGAGATGGATGAGCGGATAAGGCCATGTCACTACGTGGTTTATCATCTGCTCCCACATTGGAATCTGTCAGAGATGTCTCATACGCAGATGCGCTCTAGTGCCATACTTAAATCTATTTCCTGAGTTTCCCAAATTCTTCACATCCACACCTCCTTTTATGTTAACTACAGAGGCTCCACCAGGTTGCTGCTCAGACCTTCTCCCAAGATGGTACCATGCTAATTAGTTATCAATGAAATGACAAGCCTCTTGGGTTCCAGAATTTCTAATCAATCTTAACACCCAAGGCAGCTAAATCAGGATGTGAAGCTTGTTTAAAATTAAGAACACATCTAAATGTTTTTGAATGACCTTACACCTCCTGTAATAAGGTGACTGTGGGTCAGTTTACCCAGCTGTGCAGGACAAAGTTTCTGTGTTCTGTGACCCCAGTAGCTTTGCAAATGCACCTGTTATACTTGATGAGGTCAAATATTTTATTTGCTGAAGGACTCAAGAGTTAGTTGTGAACTTCAGTTTTGTGTTTAGTCCTCCTGGTATGGCCTCTGCTGCTCATCCCACTTCATGGTGACCAATAAAGCACACTTGGACTCACACCACGTCAAGGGCACTGCATGACACTGGAGTGAAAGGCCTTGCTCCTGTCTCTGGGGCTACCTTCTCATTTAGAGCCAGGCAGGAACACACAGGGTGCTATGTCCCCAGGATGGGGGCAGATATCAATGCCACCTTCAAGGCTCTTCAAGGGAACTGGTCCAAGTCCCAGAACTCAGTGCTTCATAAATGAGGGACACCACCCCATTGTTCATGCCCCCACATCACAGATGTGGAGGTGTGGACCCAAATTGTCTGGGCTGCGCTGTTGACTGTGGATGTCCAGTTCTGCCCTGTAAGATCTCCTCCCACTTTCTGCATTCACCCTGGATTCCAACTTTTTCTACTATGCTCCCTTCCCACTGCCAAAAGAACCTCTATCTCAGCTTCTCCACTGGTTTTCGCACTTCAGGTGACATTCAGCTCACCCGGTGTGGTCCTACACACAGACCCCAAGATGGTCTGTGAGGTGGGGCTATGTAGTCAAGGTGGTACCCTAAGGGTGACAGCAAGTTACCATTTAGTACCGGAGTCTAATGTTGACACACCCATAAGGTCAACTATAATCCACACAGTGACGGTCAGTCATAATCAGTGCATGGTGGCTACCTGCAGAGCTGCGTTTTTTGGAGCACTTCCAAAGTTATATCCTGCCTGGTCCAGTGCAGGGGGGAAAGGACATGGCCAATCAGTTATTTCTGGTGATTGCCAGGGGTGGGTGACGGAAGGATTTCTGTACATGTGATGGGGAAGATCGGTATATCTACCTGGAAGTTAGGCCTCCGATTTGCCTTCCATTTGAAGACCTAGTTAACAAGCCTTTTACAATTCTTTGAGAAATTTGCTGGTGTCATAAGAAGGGACTCAAAGAAGGAACTGATGAGCCTAAAGTCACTGTGGTAGCTTGAGTGGCATCCCCTAAAAACTGACATCCACTCAAATCCTCAGAATGAGATGTAATTTAGAAATGGTGTAATTCACTTAGGATTCAGATGAGATAAACCCAACAAGGTTGTTTGTAGATAAAAAGGACCCAGAGCAGACCCTAGAAGACAGAGATGGGTGGGAGCAGCACACACCTCAGAGCCCTGGTAGCTGCTTGGACACTGAGGAGGCCAGGCAGGATTTGCCTCTGGATCTTTCAGAGGGAATACAGCACTCCTGATACCTTGATTTCAGACTCGGGGCCTTCAGAACTGTGAATGAACACGTTTCTCTTACTAGGCCGTCAAGTTGTAGAGTTTAGTTACATCAGCCCGAAGAAGTTAAAACAGATAAGAATACCTTGCTAATGGGGAACTAAGGCTGCTGGTGTGGGAGATTTATTAATCTGGGGGATCCTAGCCCCTGTACCCCAGCCCCGTGTAAGTGCTTGTGATGGTGATGTAATTGGTTTCTTTGTTATGTTATGTTAGGGTCATGTTCCTTGTGGTACTGAAGCATTTCCTCAGTGAATGAACTACAGCCCCTACTCACCCACCGCCTTCATTCAGCCACACACTCCTCATTCAAATGTGTACCTGAAGTGTTAAGCTCTCCGGCCAGTTGAATATTTGCAGATTGAAAATCTGTCCAAAGTGAACACAGAAGTCCGCTCCTAGCTGCCGACTGACTGTCCTGGACACCTCCTTGCTGTTGAAGAGCACCTTTAAATACACCGAGCGTCGCTTCACATCTTCCCTTCGCAAGACCTCTGCCCTGCAAAGCGAGACCATTTGCAGCTGGGGTCAGTACTAAGTTAGCAAGGGTCCCTGGGATATTTGACAGAGGGACATTGAACATAATAGGAGACCCTGGAGCCAACTCCTTTGGTCATGTTACCTCCCATTTAACCAAAACAGCCACGAAACAGCTACCCGAAGAGCTTACTATCATAAAATACTGTGGAATACAATTCATGGAGAAGCCATTAGCAGCCACTGCAAAAAGAAGAGGGCCTTAACTATGGTCCTGTACTACAACCTTCTTAAATTGTCCCAACAAGTCTTACACTTGCATCCAAAACAAAATTTTAAGTAAATACATTCTTGGTTGCGTAGAATTGAATTTAGGTCATAAGGGATGGTAGTAGTTAGTAACTGGGTAATGTACTGTATTCTAAACAGGTAGTAGCATATTATGGAAGTTAGATCAGGTTTACTCTAATACTCAAGGCTTTTCTCAACATTTTCAGAGGGTAAGTGACTGCTCAATGGATGTAAAAAAAATGCTTCTTATTTGTAAAGATCATTCTAATTCCCATAAGATGTAACTTGGTGCCTTGAAAGGGTTAAAGCACAGCAGTCTAATAACCTGAAACTATAAAGAATTCAGTGTTTAATTTTATCTGTGTTTGCAGAGGCACCCAACAAAGAGCTTCCAGCCCCTGGTTACGTCGACAGCAGTTCAAGCTTGCAGTGCAATCAAATCTAAAACTAGCTCAAGTTTTCTGGTTAACGATGGTATTAGGTACATTCAAAGTGTTGTACAAATACCACTACTATCTCTTTCTAGAACTTTTCATCACCTCAGACAGAAATTCTCTACTCACTAAATCAGGTGGTAGCTTTAACTTTTTACATCTCTATAATTTAAACGTAGCCAGATACAAAATTGCTCAAACAACAGCATTTTCCCCCTATGCAGGACATTTAACACTAAATTTCAAGAAGTATCAAGATGAGATACGGACTCCAACCACGGCTGTGTCTGGGTGGGTCCCAGAGGCATGGCCTGGGCGCTCTGACTGGTCCTTTCCCACTTCCTTGCTGCCACCAAGCATGAAGCATTTTCCCTCTAGAACTGTGTTCCCAGTAACCCCACACAACAGATACGCCTACTCCCTCCCCTCATCTCTTCACTGTCCCCTTAACTGATGGCCTGATGAGGGGAGACTGTGGTCCTTGATTTGGGGGTAACTGGGTGGTGCTCTCAAATTGCAGTGAAAATTTGGAAATGGATTAAGACTGACGTGCACATTTTCAGTCAGAACAGGACTCACATAAAAGACCACTCAATGGGGCTCAAGTTTTCCCTTTAAAAATGCTGCTGTCATGTTTTGAATATTCATGACAAAATTATACAATATGGTATTTGTGTCTTGAAAATAGCTATATATATTTTTTTGTCAGAGCACAGTTTACTTATGTGTAGTATCTGTGAAGTAGAGAGAACACAGAAAATGCAGAGGAAGTTACAATTTAAAGAAAACCATTACAACGACCACATTAGTTTGAAACCAGGAAGGCCACAGAAAGCCTCACAATGATACCCTAATTAAACTTGGCATCAAAATGGGTAGGAAGATGACTCACTCAATTTGAATTTTGACTTTTTTGGTCGGAATGATAAAGATTCCAGACGAACATATTCTCTGTGTTCGTGATAGGATTCAGCCTGATTCATACTGGTGATATTGGTGATTTCAATAAATTCCCTTTAATAGGTTACAATATGCTATAACAGGTATCAGAATCCCCTATAAACCTACCTTTGTACTTACCAGAGTTCAAGGTTCAATGGGCCTCAAATAAAACCTGGGTATTTGGATCTAACAAGTTCTCAAGCGATGTTGCCCATCCCTCAGGGGGAAGTTTTGAGAATTGTGGCTCTAAGGTGTGGCAGGTTAGGGAGGAGAGACAAACCTGGCAGGGCTTTGGGATTCACCCAGGGGATTGATGGGCATATTTCTGGGTAATTATGGGTGGGTCATAGAGACATGGAGTTAGGGTCTTGTCGGACCCTTTGCACTTTCTTCTTTTCTCTACCATGCCTCTCCTGCATATTGTCTTTGCCTTGGAGGCTGCCAACTTGGACTGGCTCTCCTGAAACCATGAGCCAAATTAAGTTCTCCTCATTTAAACTGTGGGTGTCAGGTACTGTGTCCAGCAATTGGAAAGCTAATACATTAGCACTGGAAATCTTAACAATATTTTTAGTATATTTATATTATATATTTTTAAAAAAATATGGGCATACAATGTATGTTTATAGATTTATTATATATGTAAATTTACAAAAGTACTGCTTCTCTCTGGCATCAGGTAAGAACAGCTAGAACTGTATGTTTATCAATCCAGGGAGTGTGCGGCTGATAGCTAGACAAATACAGCTAGAGGGCATTCCCACGACTTCCTTTGGGAGGTCTGGGGAGTCCTTCAAAGACACAAGCTGGCCTCTGGTGCAGGTACGGGGCAGGTCTCTGTGTCTGTGCCAGGGAGAAGGGACATGGTGCCAGTGGACAGAAAAGGCATACTGAGGTTACAGACAAGGGATCCAACCCCAGGCCACCTAGACAGCTGTGGGGAAGAGCAGCAGAGGTCTGTGGCTGAGATGTTTCTCCTACAGGAGCTCTGCACCACAGGCTCTTGGGTGGCCAGTACGGATGAATCAAAGGGTGAATCTTATGCAGTCATCAAACGTGATCAAACATCACCCATCTGCTAAGGCTCCACCTACATTCACATGGTCAGTGGTGCCCCTGCTCAGACCATGTGGCTTGGGACATGCGCACTTCATGTCATGTGCATGGCTGTGCAGCTGAGCATGAGCCAAGCATCGGCTCAGCATCTGCTCACCTGGGACACTGGTCATCGGGTGTCACGCTCCCCGTCAAGCTCAGCTCTGGGAGCAGCACAGGCTCGCCCGGCCGTCTCCTGGAGTGGGCTGCACGCTCCCTGGCCTGCTGTTCTAGGACTGCATGGTCTAGGAGTTCTGGGGGGATGGGCTTTACAGGCTCCTCCCCGGGATAGAGCTCCTCTTCAGCCTCTCCCTCAGGATGCTCTTCCGCTTGTTTCTTTTTCTTCTTCTTGGCCTTCTGCTGGGGAAGAGAGCTGATGTCATACTGGAAGGATTCTGGGAACATAATCTGAAAGTGGTCTTCAGAGCTGGACAGGGCTGGAGGGGAAGGCAGCCCACCTCCTGCAGCCTGCTGGGGGCCCTCTGGGTCTCGGTTCTCCCACCTGCCCCTGGGAAGCAGCAAAGGGAACCCGTCCCGGGGCTGTGGAAATGAAGTCCTGCATACACTTATCCTGGGAAGTGGGTGAACTCTGGAACTCTCAGACATAAGCCTTCTCTTATAGTTCGACCTATGGAGTATTTGCAGAGGGTTAGTGGCTCCCCTTCTCAGACCATGTGGCTCCTAAAGAATGCCTGCTCTGCATGGGGTCGCTCATACTCATACTCAAGGCCAAGGACACAGCCTGAAATGAAAGGCTTGAGACCACAATGGGCAAGGCAGGTCACCCGGATCTATTACTTAGTGCCCTGGGATGCGGCTTTGCAGCCATGTGTAATTTGCAGAGGGAAACTTTGCATACCCGCGTGCAAAATACTGAGTACTGTGCTCCACACATGTATTAGCGATCACTATGTTCACTCAGATACCCACAGAGTGCTACGGCTGAGCTGTGCATGGTGCCACTAGCTGAGAGGCTGAGCAGTCCGCCCATGCCTCTGTTCCCTACAGAGTGGGGCAGGGAGAGACTGGAGGAGACAGTGGGAGACCCCAGCTTGCAGGTCCAGCATCCCTTTCCTGTCTCAGGGGCTGCCTTCCCAAGCACTCCCCGCCTAGCCCTGCTCCAGGCCTGGGAAGGGCTTACGCACTTGGGCTTTTTTCCAAGCCTTCCACTGCTGGTACGAAGCCCTGTACTCTCCCAGCCTCTGTTCGTACTCCTCCGTGTGCTCTTCCATCAGCTCACTTATTTCAGCTTGAATCTCTGCTTCATATGCCTCTTCGTCTGCTTTCTGGTCAACCTTTTCCCTTTAAATTAAGTCTTTGGTTATTTCTTGGAATTAATGGGGAATAATGAGGGGGTTAAGAAACAACTCCGGAGAGCATTAATTATGATAAATACAAAGACAGGGCCTTTTTTATCTTCCAGTGCCTCTTCTAGCTGTGTCGTGCAGCTGGGTGTGCGGGCGCATGCTCGTAACCCTTCCACTCCAGGAGGCTGAGGCAACTTAGGGCTGAGCAAGGCATGTCTCAGCACACAATAATGTAACAGCACGGGATGACAACACTGCTCTGGGGTATACGAGCCACGCTGGTGCTGTCACAGTGCCTGTAAGTCTACCCGGGCAGAAGTTTTGCTACAGCTCATTCTCCAGCTTTCCGAGGAGCCACCTCACACAGTTGCTGTCAATGCCCGGCAGCACTCCTGGACATCAGAGCAATGGCATGAGGTGGTCTCCGATGACTCTGCGGAGGTTCCTTCCCCTGGGACCTGAGTCCGGACCAGTGTTTCCCACCACCGTGTATAGTTATGTGAGGTGTCTGACCAACAAGAGGAGCTGTGGATGTGTCACCTCTGAACTAAACAAACTCGAGACTCTTCCTGCTGTTCCTCTATTTGGAGCCCTTTCCATGTTAAACTGTGGGAATTCCAGGTGGGGGTGGGGCACGGCCAACAGGAGGTGCTACACCCCACCCCGCATGAGGGCGCTGGTGCCACTTGTGAACTGTGCTGTTTCCCCTGATGTGGTCTGGTTTCCAAGTGTCACACTTCTAAATCTCTATGCATTTTAGGTAAACTCAGTCAAACGCCTTAGAGCAAGCTGACACGTTTGCTTAAAACCATGTGTGACCTAGTGGGTTAGCAGTGCTCTGTTCTCCAAGGTGCAAGCTCTGACAGGACTCTAGCCATCAGCAGATGCCAGGATAGATGATGCACTGTGATACCTGAAACTTACACACATTGGGAAACCTGCCCCCCAAATTATGATCTATCTCTGATATACAGAGAATCGCTTATTCTTTCTGTCTCTTGAGACAGGGTCTTGCTATGCAGTTCAGGCTGGCCTTGAGCTCACTTTGTAGTGCAGGCTGGTCTTGAACTTGCAATGATGCTCCTGCCTCAGCCTCCCAGTACTTTTCTCATTCTTGTCCTTAGGTATGAATAACTATACTGAGGGTTTTTACTTCTAGGTTAGAAGGAGTTGTTGTTGAAGAGGGGAATTTGCGGGGTGCCCAGGTGCCTACGCTGTTCCGTTGCTTAGCTCATCTGTTCTTACTGTTTAAACCACATCTCTATACTAAACACTTTTCTCTGATGGATGAAATAGCCCAATAGAATGATTTTGAGAGCGCCTACTTTCTCAGCACAAGTTTCAGGGGCGTATTCGTGAACCTCTGGAACTCCCGAAGGGATTTCATCTCTTTCCACACTTTCACGATGGTCTTGAGCAGTGTCCGATCTTTTTCTTGTTCGGCATCTCGCAGTTTTCTTGTCTCCCTACAAAATATAGGAGTGTACAGCAAGAAGTGGTTTAGGTGTGTTTGTGTGCAAATAAAAATGGAATCAATCAATGCTATGTGATTGTATTTTCAGCTAGATAACGTCTAAATAATTACTGGAAGAAAACCAAATACTCATGCAAATTTAAGGACATTAGGAGTTTTGAAAGGTTTATTTGACTTTATTCTCTCTAGGTGAATCTGACTTGAATGAAACTAAATTACCTTTTAAAATTCTTACTGGAATGATGTGTCCTTAAACTAACAAGCTCCTTCACAGTTAGGGAAAGAAGGGACTGAGCAGCAAAGGCAAAAACTTCATATGGGCCGAGCTTTTGTGAACGCTGTGGAGAATGCTGCCCTCCAAGTCCACAGCCAAACACTCACGTCTTCCTGTGCTAACACAGATCCCGAGTTCTGCTCTCAGATGACACAATCCAACTACTGCTGTGGGGAATTTCCAGGACTAATATTTTTGACTTGACGTGAAGAGGCTTCATCTTTACGTCCAGTATTACGAATGTTTGGAAATTGTTTAATACCTTATTTTAAACCCACTTTATGAACGACAGACACATCCAGACCCAAATCTATGCCATTAGGCCACAGGAATAAGTGAGATGATTATTTCGGTTTTGAATAAGCGCCATGTGTCATTCCAGGCAGGTCAGAGGTATCTTGGAGGAAGGAGGTGTCTGTCTCCTGGGAGGGTGTAACTCCACTTCAGAGACAGACACACATGTAAAGGACGGTGACACGCAGTATGGGCTCTCTTAGATGCCACAGGAAGCAAGGAGGGGAGCCGTGGCAGAGATGAGCCCTCCGGAGCTCAGGAAGACCTGAGTCTGGGGCTGGCTTAGTCTGCAGAGACGGGGCAGAGAAGCAAGCAGGTCTGGTTTCTAACTGTTGTACTTGCGGCAGTGGCAAAGGAAGGTGGCTCACAGTGATAGCAAGTAGCGAGGTCCGGGACTCTGTGAACCTTTAAAAAGGCAAGAAAACAATGAACTGGACAGAATAAGAGCCTTCTACAGAGGGCCGCAGTCAAGCTTGTGTGAGCTGTTAGGCCACCCTGGATTTAGATTCTGGCTCTGTCATTTGCGACGCGGCCTGTGATGGGCCACTTTCCCAGAGGAGACGTCACAGGGCTGCGGGCAGGAGCAAAGCAGTTAGCATACAGCCTGCTCGGAACCCAGCCTTGCACTTGGCACGCGGCCCCCAAATGTTACCTGTCACGATCAGGTGGCCTTTGGACCTTTACCTTCGACTTCCTGTGCCTTATTTTTTTTTTTAAACTGCAATATAAAATTGTTTTCTTGAGTTACATGACACCTTTTGGATGTTTTCTGACTCTCCTTTCAGTTTCTAACAAAATAAATTTCCAGAAATACTAAAAGAACTCTTAGCAAGAAAACATTGACCTTTGAGCTAAAGGAGAAAGAAAAATCACAAAAGAATGTTTAGTTAAGAATTGTGGCCAGAGCTGGGCATGGTGGCACACAGCTGAGGTGGGGACTGCTGTGAGTTGGATGTCAGCCTGCACTATACAAGGAGACCCTCTGTTAAAAAGAGAAAGAGAGAAAGAAGGAAAGAAGGAGAAAGAAAAAAGAAAAAGAGAAAAAAAGGACTGTGGCTGGAACCATCGGGGTGGAAGAGGCAATCTGTACAGGGAGCTGGGACAGCACAGCTTGAGGTGTACGGGGTCTGAAATGCGGGAGGAGTGATCAGCTCAGAGGGGAAACGTCCATTGATTGAGGTAATTTCTAAAGCTACAGTAGGGACAGATTCAACCTAAGTAAAAATACAGATAAAATAGGTTAAAAAGGGAACAACAAGTGCACACCTGTAATTCTAATACTTGGGACCCTGGAACAGGATAATTACATCTGAAGCAGCCTGGGCAATTTAGCAAGATCCTGACTCAGAACAAAAGATCTGGGGACGGAGCTCAGCGGTAGAGAGCCCTGGATTCTACCCCAGGACTCAGGGTAAAAATTAAGAAAACACCGGAGGGACTCCGAAGCTTTATGAGCAGGGCAGAGGAGGGAGGTTGGGAAAAGGACAGCTGGATGCAGAGTCACAGAGAACCCTGGGAGAGGAAGAAGAGTGTGTCTCATGGGGGACCCATAACAATAGCAATGTTGGTGTCAGTGTGCTGAGCTGAGAGGGCTGCAGCCGGTGTGCTCCAGAGGCTCAGTGAGTACAGGAGCAAGCTGGGGCGGGAGGAGCCAGGCAGGGAGCAGAGGTTGTGCACAGTGCTTGTTGTGTGAAGTTTGGTCATGCAGGGGAATTGTCTGGCAGCTGGGTGAGGCTGTAAATGTGTCATCTGTTTGAGCACATCTGCAGGAAGTCATACAATGGAGGGCTCATCGGATGTGCCCCTGGGGTGGCTCATCAGCACATTGCAGGGTGCTCAAGTGAACAGGCCCACTCAACAAGACCTTCAGGAAGAGACCCCCTTCCTCAGAATGGTTCCCCACCCAGGGACATGTCAGTGAAAGGCTGAAAACCCTCCTCCTGGGTTCTTGTTAAGTTCTAAATCTCAGAGTTTTTATCTCCAGGGGCAACAGAACCACCGTAGCGAAACAGCAATGAGCCCATGGGGCATGGTCCAAGGATTTCAGCGTGGGTCTGCTGTTTTTCAAATAGTGGTGGCGAACGTGATTCCCTGAGGAACAGTTTTCAGAGCAGCTCGATGTCACTGTGCCCCTGCCCTATGTGCCACACCAAGAAGTATTTTCACACAAAGGCTGTGATACGTTTTTCCTTTCAACATGAAAGATAATTTTTAAAAGCTAAGCATGGTGGTATGCATCTATAATCTCAGCACTCAGGAGACTAAGGCAGGAGGATCACAAGTTTGAGTACAGCTCTAGCAACTTAGAGACTTTGCTGGATTCTGTCTCAAAAACAAAACAAACAAACAAACAAAACCCTAAAAAAGGTTGGTGATGTATCTCAATGGGAAGGCCTTGGGTTCAATTCCTACCTCCATAAGGAAATAATTCATTTCAGGGACTGAGATGTTGCTCAGTAGTACAGCATCTGCCTGGCACGCACAGGGGCTAGAGTTTGATTCCTAGCATGTCAAAAAGCAACCACTTGGGGCTGGGGATTTAGCTCAGTGGCATAAGCGCCTGCCTTGAAAGCAGGCAGTTGTGAGTTCGATCCCTGGTACCAATAAAAAGGAAAAAGACAAAAAAAAAACAAAAAAAAAACAAAAAAAAAAAACAAAAAAAAGCAACCAATTCTTTTTCTTTTTGTATCAGGAATTGAACTTACCACCTTGCGCTTGCCAGGCAGGTGCTATGCTGCTGAACTATATCCTGGTTCAATTTTCATTTTTAAACATACTCTTCATATTCTGCACACACACACACACACACACACAGACATGCATGCAGGCACACGCAGAGTGTATGAGAGAAGTAGCAAAAACTGTTAGCAAGGCTTCTTGGGATTGTAGGTGATATGCACATTTTACATTCCACATTTCCTTAGTGTTGGGGAATAATCATGGTTTTAATTTTTGAAAAAAAATTCGAGGGGAGATTTTTTGAGCCAAGTTCTCACTATGCAGTCCAGGCTGGCCTTGTACCCAGAAAAGTACATACTGTGTTCCCTAAAAATAGTACTTAACCAGAAAATAAACAGTTTTAAAAACTAGATTTCAAAAATGCTAGCCCCAATCACCTTGCTGTACCTGCCACGACACAGCAGTCCTCCAAGCAACAGAACAGTGAGGCAAAATCTTCTGCATAGCACTGACCATCACCATGGTAACAGCCAGGAAGGGCTTGTTTTCCAGGTAGGTCTTACTTTCAGGGAAATACAGTATAATAAATAAAATGATATCTGCCAATGTCCTGTCTCATTTTCTCGTATTTTATTGTTCTTATGCAGCACTGAAGACTTCCCTGCTGACCTCCATCCCTCCTCCCCGGAGGAAGAGACTGGATTTCTCTGTCTATAGGTCCCTCACATGTTGTGGTACCCAGAACAAACAGTGTCATCTCAGCTGTTCTTTCAGATCTGTGAACCACATCATGCATGACACCTGGATCTTTCCAATCTCCTCTCTCAAGTGTGACGCTAGCCATGCAGCACACAGGACACGGGCTTCCCTCACATGCCCCTCCATAGTAGTTCTGTGTTAATATGATGGGATGTATCTCATTTCCTTTGCCAGGATTTCACAGGTATTCAGTGCATTCAGAAAAACCTATCTAGAAAAGAAACTGCAAAGAAGTACGTTTCTAACAGACAACAAACAAACAAACAAAAATCAGTAGTTAGAATTACAAACTTTCCTCACCGAATTTCAGATTTATATTCCTTGATGGTCTTCTGGGTTGCATCAAGAGACTGGTGAGGTTTTTCAGGATAAAGTCCAGTCTGAACTGCGTTCCTTAGAGCTTGAAGCTTAAAAAGACAGGGACACAAGTTTTGCATCAGTAACTCTGTCTGCTAGGCATGTAAGCTGTCACCCAGTCCCCTGGGCAGAGGGTGCGAGCACTCTGTGAGTGGACGTGCAAGCACCTAGCTGGCTCCAAGCTCACACTGAAAGGAACTTGGGTAGAGAATTGTTTCATCTTTCCTCCAAAATCTGGAGTAATAACGAATACTGAGAGTCCATCCCTATTCTGTGACTCAGACAATCACACTGCTCATCTAAACATTACTTTTATATGAATATCTCAAAAGCAAGTCTGCATTCAAGCTGACAGTGGGTCTTTCTGGGTCCTGTGCATCCAACGATGGCATACTGTGCTCTGAAAAAACATCTAAAATGACAGACTCCTAACAGGAGGCACTGTGGGTTAATCTCATTCGGATAATAAGGTTTTAAAGTGAGGACACGAGGTGATGAGACGTGACTGAAGTTGGTGAGTCTTTAAATCTTAAACTGTTTCTCCCCGTGAGGAGTATTTTGCCACTCAACCCTCACTGCAGACAACTTATCACATTGCTTTTGCTGCTTCCTGAAGCAATTCTGGAAGTCCTTTGTGGTGTCGTCAAGTGCAGGCTGTGGCTGCCTTGATGTTCTGAGTGAATTCAAAATGGTTACATCTCGTGGTCATTTGGGGGAAGCCCCAGCAGTCACTGAGCACTGAGTCTGATGAATAAGGTGGACAGGAACTCACATAATGCTTCTGTCACCCTGGCTTTCCACTGGATGGAACGAGGCAGCTGCATTCACTATATTTTTGACCATACTGTGCAAAGACACTCATGAAAAAGAACTTCCAGATGTGCTTCAGAAGGGGGCAAGAACGATGGAGTGAGTATGTTTGAGGTGAAAGAGAGCATTTGGAGAGGAATTAACACAGTATGTCTTTTAGTGCAATGATTGTATGTATATATTACATATTATGATCACCCTGTGTAAAATGGTCTATGGTTAACATTATCTGTGGAAATTGATAATTTTACTATGGAGTAGTGTCACATTGGAAATAACTATGAACAGCGGCTACCGTTTTGAGCATCAGTTGAGACAGCTGTCCTGGGTTTAGCTGCTTCGCTACAGGAAACACAAATATAAAAACAAGAACATCCCCTGGGACAGAGAGCTCTGGACCTACCACTGGTCTCAGAATCCGAGATCACCTCAGGCAGTAACGGCCACTTCTCCTCCTGCAGACACCTACTTCTTGGGGGTGGGATACCTTGTGCTCCTCCTCAAATTTCCTCTAGAAGTCAAGTGTGTGCTGCTGAATTCACACTTGTAAAATTGCAAGCCCCTCCTCCTGCCTCTAGGCAAGACAGTATATCTATCACACATCCCCTACAGTGCAGTCATGTGAGAGACAGGAGCATTTCACTGCTACAGAGCACTTCCATGCTTGGGGTCATTCTGAGAAGCAGCCCTATAAAAATGGGGTGATCACATGTACCTTATCAGTAAGAAACTTCGCCTTGCTTCTCTGGTGTCTTGCGAGGTACTGGTCATATAGCTGGGCCAGCTTGGCTGCCAAAACGTGCTCTCGGCTGAAACAGGGGTGGTGAGTGAAAATTAAACCTGAGATGTCAATGTCCAGCTGGAAACTGCCGGGAGGGTCTGCAGATCCGACCACGTGCTGGGTCCTGTGCACGTACTTCACAGCCTGCCGGAGAGAGCAGAGCGCTTACCAGGTTGTGGCGCTCTGATCTGCAGAGGAGAGCGGCTGGGTGCGAAATCCGGATGTCCAGTGCGGTGGGAGCCCCGGTACCTGGTTAGGGGCCTGCTCTTTCCTGGATACTTGGACAGGGAACTGAAAGGGTAGGACTGAGAAAGGAAACCACTCCCATCTTCTTTCCTGTCTTTCCATCTTCACTACCCTCCCTAGTCATAGTTTTGAGTTCTTTCATAGGCAATGTCTCTGTTCTGGAAATCTCAGGTTATGTAATTGGTGATCTTGTCATTTTTTAAATGGGAAAGATAGATTCTAGTCCCAAATGGTCCTCACTTGTGTCATAGGTATGTATCCAAATTTTTAAACACGTGGGAACGTTTTTGTTCTGTAGACAGCAGCAAGAGACTTTTCTGTAAAGGCACCTTATGCTGGCACCCCGTGTTCCCGGGGAGGGGGGATGAAGGTATTGGGCTAAAGAACAGAGCAAGAAGTGTGGAAAGCAGTCGAGTCGGTGTGGAGAAAGTGGGAGTGGAAATCTGCAGTGGGAATGTCCTGGATTGTTCAGTGTATAATGAATCAGGTAAATTGCTCCATTTTCCTTTCCTAAAATGGTGAACATCACTTTTTACGGAGTTTGTGAAAGCGTAAAGATGAAGAGAGCTCTGTGGTGGCTTGAGATCCATCAGTCAGTTCTCTTTTGCAAGGATGAGCCCTGGAGCTACCCATGGCAAAATGTTTTATTTACAAACTATGAAGTAACATGGGAGTCATAAAACCTCCGGCTGGAACTGACTGATCCTTCATCAGTTACGGGCAACATGTCCCAGAATCTCTTCATTTAATTATCCTGTGTGGGGGATCAGGTATGATGCTAGGGACCAGCAGCCCTGGTTATGGCCTTGACTCCACCTTGAACTTGCTCTCACATCTGGGCCAGGTCAGCCCACGTCTCTGGGCCCCCTCTCTTCATCTCTAGAAATGGACCTTAAGGGAAAAGATCTAATTCATATCCTGTAGATCACCAGGCATATATATGATCAAGCACTGTAAGACATCATCTCATTTATTTAACAAAGATCAGCGGGTGCCCAGTGTGATAGGCCCACCTTCAAGCAGCGATTTTGAGAGAAATGTTGGATGTGAAAGGGTGGTGCTTGGGGTATACAGATGTACGGAAATCCAGAAGGTGCCTTCCTGCATAATAACATACACGAGTCTAGTGTTATGCTGTAAAAGAATAGAAAGGGGGAGGCCCATATTGTGTGAGTTTGCACACAAATATGCAGCGGAAGTAGTACAATCTGATTTCCAGGCCCTATCAGATATGCAAACAGCTTCTGGTATTTGCACTTACAGTGAAGCATCCTCATGTGAATCCTCACTGACTGCTAAACCTGTGATTGCACTGTCCTTGGCCTGCCTTTTCCCACTATTCCCAGGAAAGGATACAGCAGTGTGTTTCCTTTTAGACAGTAAATTTCATTTTTTCCAAGATTAGGCAAATATTAATATATATATCTATGACATCACTTTTTACAGACTCTAATACATTGCATCTTACATTTATAGCAATGAGATATTGTCTTTTTTCATAAAACTACCCTTGATGAGAATTCCTACAGTCTTTTATTTTTTTGCTTTTAAAAGTTGTCCCTGTAAACTGGCATGTTCACAAATATCGTTGAGTTGAACAGGACTGGATGAACCCTGCCTCAGGACCTCCAGAAGGTGCTCTGTTCCCCAAATCAGGTTCCCACATAAACGCTGGTCCACACGCTGTTCACTGGAGCTGTTCACTGCTTTCAGCTCAGGTAATGAAATACAAAAGCTCCCAGGACTCCTGAAAGTCCTTGACCACACTGCTCAAGAGACCTCACCTCTCTCCCTTTCAGAGAGCAAGACCCCGAGTTCCTCATCTTTTTGTTGCATTTCTCCTCCCTTTTTATATATTGAGACCCAGCAAGAAGACAGAAGCAACAGTTTCTCCCGAGCACCTCCAGGTGGAAGTGGTGGAGAAAAGTTCACCCCTGTGCGTCTCCTCCGCTGATCACTTGGCTCTTACAGAAGCCTTGTGTGGCTCCGAGTTGAGTTCTAACACACTCTCTTGTTGACGCTGCGTCATGGAGACCCATTTTTTTCTCTTTCATTCAGGGAAAAGAGTAATTTGAAGCCTCCATGTTAGTGTTAATCTCTACGGGGCCATTCGGATCTTGAACATTCCCCAAGGTGCATATGCTGAAGGTGTTTATGATCACTTGGATAACCTGGGTTACTTAAAAACTTCCACCTTGCAAAGACACACACCGGAACGCAGCTCACAGACAGAACAGAAAGCTCCTCTCTTGCTGCTTTGTGCCTACTGGTTCTTGCCTTTGCTTTCCTGCTTTTATGGGGCTCACTCAGGGTGTGGCAGGCAGGTTCAATCTTGTGTCCATCTTGTTGGGGTTAGTATGCGGGGCTTCTATTTATTGCTATGTGGACTCTCAAAAAAAATTTTTTAAAGGAACCCCCATGGCATGGAACAATGGAAAAACAAATTTTGGTACCAGATAGACGAAAGAATTATAGGAAAAGGTTCAAGTAAGTAAATAGATAAAGACTGCCGTGTACAAGTCAAGGATAAGCTTAGTAGAGAGTGTGCTATGAGAAACAAAGAGATCGGCCGCATAGCTCGTCCACAGAGTGCAAAGCCCTCTGGCCTAGCCCTGAGCCCTTAGTCCTAGGGACCGCAGCCTTATCTGACTCCTGTGCAGCCATGTGACAACCTCTTTCCGTGCTGATCTTCTCATCTCTGCTGCCCTATTTCTTCCCATAACACAGGACGCTCTCCCCTCTCAACAACACTGAAAGGAAGCAACTTTTTTTTTTTTTTTTTTGTCTTTTTGAGACAGGGTCTGGCCATCAGGCTGACTTTTGGCTCACTTTGTAGCCCAGGCTGGTCTCGAACTCACGAACGATGCTCCTGCCTCAGCCTCCCTGGAAGCAACTCTGAGATCCTGCACAGGAGTGAGATCGTGCTGTGTCTGCCTTTCTGTGACAGGCTTACTTCACTTCACATAATGTCTTCCAGGTTCTGCTATCTTGTTTCAAATGGCAGGATCACATTCTCTTTTTATGGCTGAGTAATACTCCACAACTACAGTTTGGACCTTGAATATTCCCCAAGGTGCATGTGCTGAAGGCTTGGTCTCCACAGCCTGGGCACTATTAGAGGTGGTGAACCCTTTAGCTGGTGGGGTCTTATGGGAGAAGGCAGGTCCCAGGGACGCCATGGAAGAAGACACTAGGACATTAGACCTTCCTCTTTCTCTCTGATTCCTGGTTGCCATGAGGAGAGCAGTATCTTTGGCTTCCTTTCCTGCCGAGATGTGCTATTGCACCACAGCCCCAAAGCCACAGGGCCATCTGACCCTGAACAGAAGCTTCTCTGAGTAACCTCTCCACTCTGTATACTGATTATCTCAGGTACTGTGTTACAATTGTGGAAAGCTGACTGACCATGCACTCTGCACTTATCTCACGTTTTCTTTATTCATATATCTGTGGATGGCCAACGAGGTCTTGGCTGTTGTGACTGGTGCTAGGTGTTTAGTGGGGAGAGTAGGACACAGCTCCTTTAGCCACAGGATATACATGCACAGTTAGAAGACAGGAGGAACATATTTGCAGAGATTCATTGCACAATGTGGTGATTGTAGTTAACCATGATATGTTGTATTTGTGGAAAAAGTAATGAGTGGATGTCACATGCTGTCATCATAAAAAGGGTAACTATGAGGAAATGCACTTATTAATTTGCTAGATTTTACCATCCTGCTGTGTCTACAGACTCCAAAACATCATGCTGTACATCATGAATGCAGTGTTACCTGTCACTTAAAGGTAACACACCAGGAGGAAACACTGCCCTTTTCCTCCATCCTCCCCTCCCACTGGCGGCTCCCAAGGGAACAGGAAGAATGAGTCTGATTGGAGCCAGTGGGAGGCCCTGGTCCTGGTCCGGGCTCTGTGCTGAGCTCGTGGTGGCCTCTGGCTATTTCCAGGAGCCCCACGTGGGCTCTGGCACTGCGGAGGTAAGCACAGCAGGGCAGTTCCATGGCTCAGCCTCTGTCTTGGTGGGGAATTTAATTCATGGGTGATGCAGTGGGAAACCATCACCCATGCATCCGAGGGGCAGTCTGCATGGTGTCTTCCCTTAGTGCAACTGACAGTCTGGTTTTCCGGACTCCAGTGTATTTCCAGCTTAGCCTAGAACTGCTAAAGGTGGGGAGACAGATGAGATCAGTCAGCTACCTCCCCCTCTATGCAGCTTGTTAATTATTCTCCCATTTTCCCATTTCAGCTCACAGTGTAGTGCTTCATTCTATCAGCGGTTCATGCTGAGGTGAACGGATGGGTGGACAGACGAAGGGATGGACTGATGGATTATCTGATGCATGCATAAATTCACACCTCCTCGATCACTAATTGTATCATGTATCATTTGAATGAAACCAAAGAGATGATAAATCTTTCACAGGCTAGGCCTTAGGTTTATGTCTAGTTTTTAACAACTTCTAGCATCACATTTTTTTGTACAAAGCAGCTATTCGTTAATACTTGTGTGTAGTAATATTTTACAGAAATTTACAGTTTAGTAAGCAGGTCTCCTCATACATCATTTCCATGCTCACAACGACCCTGTGAGGTAGAGGAGGTCATGATTTTTGTTACTTTTCAATAAAGGAACCGGGATGGAAGAGGCAAAGACACCTGTCTGAAACGACATACTAGTAGCAGGACAGCAGGACTCGACTACAGCCTACGTCTGGTCTGCTGATGACCTCACTTTTATGGAGGATCAACTATGAACTGTGAGCTAAAATAAACCTTTCCTCCTTTAATTTGGGAGCATTATGTATTTTGTTCCAGCAACAAGAAGGTCCCTCTGACACCCCTGCCCCAGAAGCCTGAGTGGAATAAGCTTCTTTTCTATAGGAAGTACCGAGAGCTTCCAGTGTTTTGCTATAGCAGCACCAAACAAACACTTGCACATGTATTATCTCACCCAGCCCGCACAGCAGGCACTGTTACTGTGTCTATGCTGCAGATTAAGACTGCGGCAAGGAGAGACAGAGGGCCAGTCACTCTGTGAGTGGTAGGGGCGGCGACTCAAGCAAGTCAGGAAGTGTGGGACAGAGCTCAGACAGGGACTGGCCTGGAAACGCACTGCTTGCCTGAGGAGCGGGCTGAACAGAGTTAGCTCTGTTACAGCACGCGGCTGCTGCTGGTTCTTCAAGTGTGGGGCAGTCAGTTATCAAGAAAGAAAAATCTGCAGAGAATTCCACAAACGCAGCATCCTGAGCTGTTTCCTAGGCAAGGTGTTTTCAGACTTCCGGATTAGAAATGGACCCAGGGGGACGGTACCTTCTTATAGTGCGTCTCCAGTCCCGCCTGGGCACTGGGCTCCTGAGCCAGTGGCCGGGGCCGCGAGGAAAAGGGTTTGATGGGGCTCGGCAGGGCTAGGATTCTGCCGTCATCGCCGAACCATTTTCTCTCCTGCAGATCAAACAGAGGGAAGGACCACGTCTTCTTCTGTTTGACACAGAATCGTTCATAAAATCAGCAAACACTGGTGGGAAAATTCTGTGGAAGTACGCATTTCACGGACTTCCTGAGCCCCAGTAATCCCAGCAGCTTGGAGGCCGAGGCAGGAGGATCCCCCAAGTTTGAGATCAGCCTGAGCTGTATAGCGAGTTCAAGTCCAGCTTGAACTACACAGTGACCCTGTTTCCCAACAAGAAACAAAAAATCAAAAAAGCATTCTATGAATGGGAAAAGACTGCCTTCTGATTTAGCCAAAGCCCAGAAACAGCGGGCAGAAGATGGGGTTTGCGCAGCTGGGAGGTGACGCGGTAGGGCTTACTCAACGTCCTGAGAAATAAAGTAAAAGCGCACGTGAAACCACTTCCTGCGGACAAGCCTGCAAACTGGGGCCCCGGCAGCAGCGAGGGCCAGCGTCCCCGCGGGGCAGCAGGTACTCACCGGCTCCTGGCGCAGCAGCCGGTTCTCCACGACGTTCTGCTGGGCGCGAGCCACCTCAGGCCTCGCCCCGGTGTACAGGCCTTCATCCTCCAGGAACCTGGGCTGCACGTTCTCGGGGAGCTTCTTCCAGGTCGGCACTGCACGGTTCACAAAGGAATCCCATGAACGCGCGCGCCAGCCCCAGCGGTGCAAACTGCCCTCTGCCTGCTGCAACAACGCCAGCCGGCGCCTCTGTGTCGCGGAAACCACAAGTTTTCCACAGGAATTTTTCAGACAGCATCTCACTACGTAGTCCAGGCTGGCCTCTTACTGGGGGAGATCCTCCTGCCTCAGCCCCTTGACTGCTAGGATTACAGGCATGGACCACGCCCAACCAACAAGAAGAAATGAAGGCTCCTACAGGATCATGTCAGAGGGTGGCATGCGATGAAGAAGACACTCAGGTGTTAACTTGGGTGGGTGGGGGGAGCTACAGGTCAAACAGAGGCTTTTCACAGAAGCTGGTTTGTGCAGAGGGAGGGAGGAGCTAGTGATAGGCAGAGGAGGGCACACAGTCCTGTGCCCAGGTCAGCAGGGACCGGCTCCTATGAAGCCGATGAGAGTGCGCTGAAGGTTTCCTGTCGCCCAGCGACTCCCGCCCACCCTGTGTTACACCCGCCCACAGCCTCGGGCCTGAGCCCAGCTGCTCTGAAGGCTTCAGCCCAGGCGCCTCGGCCACAGCAGGGCCCCCGTGTACCCAGGCCGCACCATCTGGGGTCCGGGTTTGCAAGAGCACACTCGATGGTGATAACAGGGTCACTGCAGAGTGCACTTCTTAGAAGCCAACCCGGTCTTTAGAGCAGGGCTGAGAACAACTGCGCAGGCTGCAGAGGCCCAGAGCCTCCTGGAGGAGAGGAGAGCGGGACACAGCCCAGAACCCCTCTCTGGTCTTCACAGACCTGGGGTGAGCTCCGACCACACAGCCAGCACCAGCTCATGGCACCCTGAGGGCGCCAAAGTTTCTTATGGAAATGCCTTTGGCTGCTCCCTCCTGTCTGTTTTTATCCTGAGACTATGCAATAGAATTAAGCTAAGAAAGGCAGAGGCCACAGATGAGTGCAAGGCTGTGCCTCCCTGTGGTTTTTCTGTGTCCTCAGGGCAAGTGCAGGTGCCTCTGGAAGTCACTGCTCCCAAAATGGGTGAGTGTGCAGCACGGAGCGATGGCTGTCCGTCACCTACACAGGAGACAAGCTGTCATCCACGCCGTTCTCTCGGAGCTCACAACCCCCAGAAACACCCAATCATTTCCTAGGTAGCTTTTGGATCCTCGAGCCTCCAGGCCCGGCATAAAGGAACCTGCTCCAGACTGCACACTGGGGAGCTGAGCTGTGGTCTCCCTACTCCTGTGTGTGCTGCCAGCCGCAGTGTCATCTCCTCACCAGCCCTCTCTGGAGTTTGGAGCAGGGTAGAAGCTTCATTGCTTGGATTCTCTGCTCAGGGAGGAGCTCCATATACTGCTTCCAGGGTGCTTGTCAAGCCCTCATTTCTGGCCATGCTGGCATCAGCCCCCTAAGGGAGGCTGATGATGGTTCCCCTAACCTCTGCCCCAACTCAAGTGGGGCCCGGGGAGAGACCTGACAGTGGGGCTGAGTAAAAACACAGGCGGCAATCTGCTTTCTGGCCTAGGTGGCTGCAAATGTCTTTTTGGACCCTGAAGAAGCACCAGTGTGGCTGGAGGTGGTGGCACATGACTGTAATTCCAGTATTTGAGAGGCTAGGCAGGAGGATGGTTGGGAATTCGAGACCAGCCTGGGCTACAAAGTGAGCTCAAGGACAGCCTGAGCTTCATAGAGAGACCCTGTCTTAAAAGACAACAAAACAAAACAAAACACCCCCTCCCTCCAAAAAAACCCCTAAAAACAAAAGAACAAATGGAGTGGAGAAATGGCTCTGCCTCTTACTCCTTGTACATGCTCCACAGACAGAGAGTGATGGAGAATAAATGTACAGGATGCATACTCGGGTGACACCACTGGGCCTAAACTGTTTCCTGTGGGTATTTCTTGCCAGCTTCCTGTTTTAGAAGGCAATTTGGGGTGTCCATCAAATTCCAATTTGACTCAAAAAGACCTTTCAGGATGAAACACTACTGTGACCTTGACGCAGCATTTCATTGGAACCAGGCTAGAACAGGGCAAATCAATAGGAAATGGATATTCCTAAGTCCATCCAAGTGTTCGAGTTCCCTTCTTTTCCCTCCCCAATGGCATCAGAGAGAAAGTAACGTGAAGCCCAGGCTGTTAAAAACCAGACAGGGCCCCATTGCAGGATCTGGGCACTCTGTCCTTTTACAAGTTGATTCCTAGAACCAAGTGTGCCCGAGATGCCCTGACATCACAGAAAAGAGCAGCAGGAAATGCAGGCCGGAGAGAAGGTCTGCAGGAACCTTCCAGGAACCTTCCAGGAACCACCTCTCACAAGGTGATCTCAGCTCCAGGGCCTGGCCCACTGCCTCAAGGGTGGAAAGTGAGAAAGCTCCCACAGCCTGAATCTCAGTGTCTCACTACTTTCAGACCCAGAAATTGCCTCAGATTTGATGCCAGGCTCCCCCAGCACTGTGGGGTTTCTCCTGCTATTCTATGAATAAGTATCATTGAATGGACTTTTTCTGTGTTCTTTACTTGTGATCTGAAGAAATTTCTGGATTATTAATCTGATGAGTAAGTACAATCAGTTCTAGAAATGGGCCATCCTTATATGATGAAGATAAAAAAAAATACAGTGGGGCCATTTAAATTTAAAAGTCCTTATTATTATAAAAGACACCTGGCCATTTTCCTCCTCTGACTGTCCAGCATTCTCACCACTGTCTGAAGCTGCTCTGGAGTCCTTTCCTGAGTGTCTGCAGTTGTGCTGTTGGAGCTGCCTTAACATCCTCAGCTGAGTAACAGTGTTCACCTTTCAGGGCTGTTTTGACCTCGAGGAACAGGTGGAGGTCTCGTGGGCCAGGTCTGGTGCAGGAGGTGAATGCAGACGCACCACATGCTTCAGGACCTGCTTCCCACCGGCGGTCATTCGGTAACAGCACTTGCCATAGTTTTTAATCAGGCCTCAGAATGATACTCATGAAAGAGCACTTCCAGAGCAGCTTCGTAAAGCACTAAGAGTGATGGGATTGCTGCGTTTGAGATGAGGTGGGGTGTTCCAAGGGGGGAATTTATGGCACTGTTTTTTATCATACTACATGTGTTTTTAAATAAGTAAACATTCACTGTGCTTTTTTTTTTTTTTTTGTCTTTTTCCTTTCTATCGGTACCGGGGATCGAACTCACGTCTGCCTGGTTGCAAGGCAGGCGCTTATGCCGCTGAGCTAAATCCCCAGCCCCTGTGCTTTTGTTTTTAATCACGCCTCACATAGCAGGTACATTTCACCTGAAGGAAAATGCAGATGTTTAAACCGAGCAGAGAAATAGAAAGGACAGCTACCTGCTCGCCTACTGGGGAAAAAGAGGAGTTCCTTTTCCTTTTCCAGCCAGGTGTGGGTGCCTTCGTATTCTGCAGGTCTGACCACCACAAACTCATCAGGTGCAGGGTCCAAACCCAACAGGAAGTCCTTGGCGTCCTGACTGCCCAGCAGCTCTTCTTCATCCTGCATGGTGTTAAAAAGCATCAAAAAAATTCACACCCAGGTTCTTAGTTTATTCAGAAGATAATTTCTGACCCTGAACTGATCAGACTCAACAAGTCCCGCAACAAAACTGAATTGTCTTTCAAAGAAAATGAAAGCATAGAGCTACACAGCATTTCACATATACCCAGCGGGTTCTGTTGTTGGCTTTCCACTGTTCAGTGCACCCAGAGGATGTCAGAGGCAGAGACGCTGATTCGGAGAAGTGGTGAGCACAGGAATTAGCAGCTCTTGAGTCCCACAGCACTGAACTCTCACGTGGCATCAACCCCAGAGCAAAGACGGCAGGTGCTCAGATGGCCTGGGTGTGGGTCCCAGCTTTGCCTCTGGGGACTCAGGGGACTTACTTCACCTCTGACTCTTGGTTTTCTTCCCAGGAACTTGGGGATACTAGTAGACCTAACCTCTTACGACAAGGTGAGGATGAAACTAAATTATACACTAAAAATCTAAGCACAGGCGTGTGAAATATGTGAAGTATAAGAATTTTGTTTCAGTATTTTCCAGGTTTTTCTCCACCTGCTCCTCCTCCTCCTTTTCCTTGCCTTTCTTCCCCCTTTTCTTTTTTTCCTTTTCTTCTTTAAACACTTGAACGTGGCATCTGTGTTTGAGCAGTATCTAAAGACTGTGAGGGCAGCCCAGCTAGTGGCCTCCTAATATTTCCTCCCCAAAAGTGCCAAAGAATAAGAAAGGAGAAGTCAGTCTCCATGGAAACCATGCTTTCAGCATAACCTCAAGGCCAAGAATGCCCAAATCATCAGAAAACAAAAAGTCACCAATGTCAGTGCATCATCTATTTTGCTCCTGCGCACCTCTGCTTCGTGGAGAACAAAAGTAAACAGAAATGTGCAGAGAAGACAGAAAGAAAGCAGCCAGGGAAGCAGCCTCCAGGTTCTGACACCACCCAGAAAATCCCGAACCCCTCTGAGCACGACAGTACTTAAAAACACGTCAGGCAGTGGCGCAGGGCTGCACACAGCTCCTCAGGAAGTAAAAAGACAAAGCAAGGAGGAAGTAGCTTTTGGAGACGAGTCAGGATTTCAGATACCTTGCCTTTGCGAGGGGGAGCCTAATTCTCCTCCCTTTCAGAGTGCACTGACTTTTGCAGTTTACATGGTGGAGGTGATGTGTTGGCTTCTGATACTAGGTCCTGAAAGGCACTGTGGCCTCTCCGTTGATTTCTCTCTCAGATCCCCTTTGCTTTAGGGGGAGGCCGGCTGTGCTGTTCTGAGAACACTGAAGCCATGCCCTGGGATGTGTCCGTGGTCAGGGCAAATATGCCAGTGTGGAAGGAAACCTTCCTGGCCCATCCAAACTTCTAGATGCCTGTGGTCTTGTCTGTCTTGTCTACAATCTCATGAGACATCCTGAGTCAGAACAAGCTGCATATTGATGTGTAAAGCAGTAACTATAGAATAAGCTGAAATATTCCCATGCTTCTGTAGACCTCAGTAAGAAAATACATTCCTGGGAGGCTTTCTCAAGGGAGGAGATAGAGGTGAAGCCCAGAAATATGCCAACAGTGCAGACATGAAATGTTCTGGTGTGTTTTCCCTTTTTATTTTTAACGTTGTAAAATATATGCGGTTAACATTTATCATTTAACCATTCCCACACGACCATAGTTCATAAATGTTAAGTACATTCAGAAGCATCTTCAGAATTTTTTCATCTACCCAGATGAAAGCTCTGTGCCCATTAAACACTAATTTCCAATTCTTCCTCCCCTAGACTCTGGCAATCATCGCTTTCTGTTTGCATGATCTTGGCTGCTCTCAGTGCCTCATATAAATGAAATCACCCAGTATTCATCCTTTCGTGATGTCACTTAGCATAACGTCTCTGAGATGTCCTCTTGGAGGCTGGTTAATAATGATTCACAGAGCACATTTTATTAATCTGTTAAACACAAGGGCTTGCCTGCACCTTTGGGCTGGTGTGGATAATGCCGCTGTGAACCCTGGTCCACAGATCCCTATTCAAGCCTAAGCTTTCAGTTTGGCAGGGAAGAGTTATCTTCAGCGTAGAGCTGTAGGGTGATACAGTGATTCTGTTTAAGTTTTGAAGAACAGCCGTATTGTTTATAACAGTGGCCGCATGATTTCACATGCCTACCAGTCATGCATGCACAAAACTCCAGTTTCCCCACATCCTCTCCAACCCTTAGTTCTGGTTTTGTGCTAGCCACTCTGATGGTATGAAGTAGCATCTCATTATGGTGTAAGTTGGCATTTCCCTAGTGACTAACAATGATAAGCATCTTTTTATGTCTCGTGGGCCATTTGTCATCATCTGTGGAGAAACATCTGCTCTGGAACATTCTCCCAGACTGAGAATGTATCTCCACGGAAGTGCACTTGCCTAGCATGCACGAGGCCCTGGGTTTCATCACCAGACTAAGCCAAAAGAAAAAGCTTTACCCAGCATGGTATCTCATTAACATGTACAAATCTTTCTGCTTTATGTGTCCATTTAAAAACTAAATTTAAATAAAAAAGAAGGAAAAAGATCTTTGCCCATTTCTTAAGGTTGAATTTTCTTTTGAATCTCACGTCATTCACAACTACGGAATCCAAGCTGTAGCTTGGGTGTGACATTGGGCACAAAACATTGCTTGCTTGTAAGGTTGTGGAGAGACAATGAGAGAGGTTTTATTTGCCTTGGAGAGAAACACACTGAGCATGTGAAATGAATGCTAATCATTTAGGCAAGAACAGAAAAAAAATCTGCAAACCATGTTATTTCGTTTCTTCCCCCCAGCAAGAGAAAGGCAGGCAGATTCAACCAAAGCCCCTACTGCAGATTGCGGGGTGCAGTCAGGGGCTACAGAAAGCCGACGGCGGCCAATGCCTCACTAAGCAGTAATCCCGCTGCCCTCACCCAGGATTCTCACCCAGGATGTGGGCGAGCTGTCAGGCACCGTGGTGGCAGGTTTGTCCTTAGCTGCCTTCTGTCACGAGAGGCCACGACCCTCACCTACCTTCTGTGGTGTCCCTGCTCTCGCTATGACATTAAGTACCATTTTGTTCATGCCTCCTGCGGGTGACTCTTCCTCTCCTTCCTCCTCCTGATGGGTTCCATCTCTGTTTTTTGCTCTTGCTTTTACTGTGGGTTCCTCTGGCTCGGGATCAAAACTGAAGGTGAAGAAGTTATAGGCCTCCTCTGCAGAAGGGAAGCCAGGCGGGGCCTAAGGAGAACAAGGCACAAGAGCAGCTGCAGGTTATTTAAACCACACATGCTCTGCACAACCTCAGCATGGTGGTGCAAGCCTGTAATTCCCGCACTGTGAGAGGCTGTGGCAGGAACAGGGCAAATTTGAGCCCAGCCTGGCCGACATAGTGAGAGGGTGCCTCAGAACAAAAAGTAAAGGGCTGGGGATGTAGCTTAGTGCAAAGACCCTGAGTTTAAACCCCAGGACTACACGTGCATACCCAACAGTGACCATACAACAACAAAAACCTTCACACAGTTATCTTTGTTGAAGGTTAATTTGTTATGGACTGGTAATGAATTTTACAAACCTGACATGCATTTTGGAGGTCTACTTAAATAAACAAGTGAAACCTGACAATTATTTACATGCTAGTAAGCAAGTACATATAATATTTACATGAGTAAAAACTTTAGAAAATATTATTAAGATGCCAAAAAGCAAGTTCATCGTTCTATATTCAGCCAATGTTCAGACAGTTCTGTTTAATTAGGAAAAACGTAAGATTCGTTAACATTCTTTTTTAAAAAAAATGGCCTTTGGCCAGGCATAGAAGCATGTGCATGTAATCCCAGCACGTGGGAGGCCACGGCCGGAAGATTCCTGAGATTAAAGGCCAGCCTGGGCCACAAAGTAAATTCAGCACTGAATTCATACCGAAACCCTGCCTCAAAAAGACAAAACAAAAACAAACAAAATCAGCCCCCCCCAAAATCAGCTTTTGTTTCCCTCCTTGCTTTTTTTTGGCTCTTCGAAAGTTAGTATGCTTCCTGCTTTGTTGCTCCCTCCTAGCTGGTGCAGTTTCAGAGCAGAACATTCTCCTCCCTACTTCCTCAGCCTCTCTTCTCCCCCCATCCACAGTCCTCAAACAAGTCACTATCTGGTCTTTCCAGCTAGATCCTAGGACAGCTGAAAATAGGCATCCTTTCTCATTCTTGTTTCTTTTATGCTCCCTGACAGTAGGAAGTCAGGTACATAGATGGTCATTTCTTCATAGATGTTTTTGAAAACCACCAACAAAAAACCATAGTTTTAAAAGACAGGGTGTGGTGGTACATTCCTGCAAGCCCAGTACTGGGAAGCTCAGGCAGGGCTATGCAGGGAGCTCAGGGCCAGCCTGAACTCCTCAGTGAGACTCAGTCGGGGGGTGGGGGTGGGGCGACAAGATTCTCACCTGGGGTTTAGACTTGATCTTTTGTACGGCATCATGAAACTTCACTCTTGAATAACTTTGGGAATCATTTCTGTGTGAAGTCGCTTGTGATTCTTTACATGGCTATATGAGTGGGAAAAAAATGATGGGTAAACCACGTGAATCAGGAGAAAAGGAAGTTCTAAATCTAGCAGTAACCCCTGAAGACTCTTCTCCTGACTGGTGCATCTCATCACTGCAAGGAATGAAATGCTTAAAGACTTACAGACCTCAACCGCAGCAGAAGGTTGAGTCAGCAGAACATTTCCTTACTCAATGTGTGTTATTGCATCCCATAGACCAATAGATTACCCATTTCACAGAAGATCATTTCCTGTCTATAGAGCACAGGCATTTGGGTGTAAATAAGCTCAACAAAGGCCCCAGCAGGGTGCACATCCTGCTCCTACCTACTGAGCCTCTCACCTGCTGTCTGCATTGGTTCACTGAGCTTTTTGCCTATACAGCTTGAGGGCCCCTTATCTGAAATGCTTGGGACCAGAAATGGTTTGGATTTTGGGTTTTGCTTTCACATTTTGGAATGTTTGTGTATTTGGAATATTTCCATATTATCTTGGGTATAGGACCATGTCTAAACACAAGACTCAAAATCCTATGCATCTAACACACATAGCCTGAAGATAATTTTCTACAACATTTGCAGTGTTTTGACAGTGACTACTCATACAGGTTCAAGCATGTGGTTTCCACTCGCCATGTCACAGCTATAGTCAAAAAATTTAGGACTTTGGTGCCTTTCAGATTTCAGATTTGTAGGTTAGGTAGGAATGCCTAGTCTTTACCCGCTTGAGGTGAGAATTCTCTTATGGGTTCTCTCTCGTTTTTCTTTGAATGCCATTCCACAAAGTACTGGTCCCATGTTTCCATCCATTTTCTAATCAAATCCTTTTCAAATCTAACTACTGTACAGCTTCTTTTCCATCCCCACCACAATCCAAACGCCGTACCTCCCTTTCGAACAATTCTAAGGTATCCCCAAAATATATTCAAAATACAGCAAGCCTTGGGTTGCAAATAACTTTTCTGTCAATGTTCTGCCAGATGAGCAAAGATTTCGAATTAATTTTCCCTTGGTAAAGGAGCGCTGTCTTGTGTTGTGAGTAGCAGGTGGCTCCGTGCTTCACGTGATCACAGCTGAGCTGCTGGTTCTCTCTTGTACTTGCTGCGGGTTTGTGTGCAGCACTGAATTTTTGAGAATTCCTCAAAAGGAGGCAGAAGTCATTGGGTAGGTCCCTCGGTGAGGGTGCATGAAAAGAAATGGGTTCCATGGAGCAGATGGAGAAGCCCGGTACCATCAGTGATAGCTAATGTCGGGCTGCGCGATTGCCCTCTGCGCTCCTGTCCCCCTCACTCCAATCACCAAGGTTTTCCAAGGTAATTGCAGGTTAATTTGCTTATTTTTCTTTATATTTTGAATTTTCTTTATTATTTTGTATTCTATTGCATTGTGCTAATCATTTTGGACAGAATCCTCTGAACTCTCATTATTTCTTATTTTTGGTATTGGGGATCAAACTCACTACCTTGCACTTGCCAGGCAGGCACTTACAACGCCGAACTAAATCCCCAGCCTGACTCTCATTATTTCTTAAGGGGAAATTCCCTGAGACATATACAAGTGCCTGGGATTAGTAAATATAATTCTGGAACAAATTATGCTCACAAACGTAGTTTATATTTGTACCACTAGACATTCAAGATGTGACAGGACATTATTGACAGGCTGACTGATCATTATTATCTGGATGGAGATGTTTTGAAGCTTGGAATAATTCTCACCCAGTGACAACCATGACTGCCATGTAATGTGCCTTCCCTAAGGACCTTCAGCCATCTGGCCTAAGTCCTTCTTGTTCATTGAGATCATGTAAAGCTACTTCCTTCTGACCCTGTACCCTAACATGTACTTTCTTTTCCAAACTGGTCCACAGAGCCCTGCCAAAAGTCAGGTTCTGGTATCATTCCTACTTCACAGAGCATCTGTGTGCCTAGGTGGAGGCTCAGGTTGTTTCTCACCTCCGGGCCAAACTCTGTCTCCAACTCTTTCTCACTGGGACTTCGCAGGCGCCTGGGTCTCGGGGTGGGAATTTCCTGCAGCAGCGCGCTTTCGGCCTTGGACTGAAAAGTCAAACAGAAAATTGCGGCTACGAAACACTAGGAATGCTGTGAAAATAAAAACCTCAGTTTCTGCTCTATCACGCACACCAAGCCTCTTTAGTTAGGGGTACGAGCAGGGAAAAGGGTTTAGGGAATGGCATTAATTCTCAAGCATAATTTTCACCCTTGCCAAGCAAAATACTACACTAACATTTACAATGAGAAAGAGAAATTGCGTAGCATTCAGATCTGTGTGGTTTGGAGCACAGGAAGCCAGCAAAGCCCAGAAGAACCTCCGTCAGTAGGGAGCGGAAGACGCGTGACCCTCTCACCCTGGCAGCCTGCAGCTTCTCCCGCAGACGCTCCCTCATGGAGAATTCGGCGAAGCCCGTCCTGGACATTGAAGGAATTGGAGGTAAGCCTTAAACAAACAAAGGAAAATTACTCTTAGGTACTGTGTTTTCCAAAAGGCAAGTGAAACTTAAAAAAATGAGAGAACGTCATTTCATTTTGCCAGTCCAGAGCTTCAGGCAACTATGCAGACACGCGATGCGCTGACAGCCCTGTTTTTGTGTAAGAAGGGTCTGTCTTGGCTTCAAGACCCACAGGGAAAACTTTGGCTCTGCTAGGACTGTCACTTCAACTTCACCAGGAGTAAAGTGAATGACACCTGACTGCTCAAGGCATACAAGCACCAACTCAGTCACCACCAGGCAGAGGTGCTGGAACACGTGGACTGAGAAGGAGGCAGAAGGAATTGAGTTTCACGGCTACCCTTTCTCTCTGACCGCTCAGTCTCTTCTGCAGGCCGAGTTAGCACCATGGAAACACAGTGTGTTTTGTACATAGCACTGAAGACAGATCGACACATCTTGAACTGGTGGGCAGCTGCACCAGTGTGCCAGGCATTGTGACACATGTCAAATGTACCTTCTCATCAGCCTGCTGGTCTCCCCCAGGAGACCCCAGGTGTTCTCCTCCCCAGGCAGGGGAAGATGCAGACTCTAAGACCCTGTGTGATAAGTGACTGCCTCCACTGTCACACACGCAGCATGCAAAACAAGTGGGATCTGGTCCCAGTTTGTGATGCTCTACAACCATTACGAGTAGGATGACAGAGGAATGGAATGCCAGCCTCAATGCCAGCGTCCCTTCCAGATGAGGAGGGCTGGGTGTGCAGTGGCTTGGGGTTGTGCTGGGGAGCCCACGAAGCAGTCCTGACTCTGCTCTCCAGGCCATGTGGAAGACAGTGGTGAGGAGGAGGCTGAGGTCAGTAGCATGCACACAAGATGCACCTGGCCTGCAGGGACAGCAGCTAAGGGACCAGCTAGGCTGTTGCCTGGGTGTGACCATAGGGGCAGGGGATGAGTGAGAGAGGCCTGGAGGTGACTGGTAGGAATGGGACAATGAGCAGATTAGATCAGATCTTGGCAGCAGAAGCTGAGGTGGCTTCTGCCAGGACCCCTTAGATGTACAGACTGTGATGTCGGAGTCTCGGCTCAGCCCAGCCCCCCGGACTCTTCCACTGCCTCAGCCTGGAGGCCCTGCTTCTGAGAAAGGAGCAGAGGACAGTATCTGAGGAGGGGCTGAGAGAGGCAGCCAGGAGTGTGGGCTGCAGAGGGAGAAAGGTGAGCAGGCAGAGCCAGGCTGTGAGGTGTGTGGGTGATCTTGTCTGAGTTGAGGTGTTGGTCCAGGGCACTGAGTCCTGGGACGGGCCAGACCCGAGGGAGACTTGGGAGCACTCTGACCAGGGCGTGCACTGCAGCAGGGAGCTCTGTGGTGGGGGGGCTGCAGGAGAAGGGCAGGAGACCTGTGCAGTGGCACCTCTAGGCCTGTGCCTTGGTTGTGATTTCTTCCTTTGGTGTGATAGCGAGGCCTAATATGCTGCTTATACCATACACCCTATGGGGCTCCTGTCGGGAGGTGAAGCATTGATGGCATGGATGACACTCCTGCATGTGTCAGTGAGATTCGGTCTCTTTAAATTTCCAGCAGCTCAATAAAATGGTCTTTGGCATTCATTCCTTTTTAAAAACCTCAATTTAAAAACCTAGTCATTGTTTTCCATTTTTAAAGAGGATGTAACCTCAGTAGATTCTGTCTCTGGGACATCGGCTGAGAATCTGGAGACTTTTCCTTCATTGTGCAGGTCACATTTGGAATTTATGGACGTGTGTGGTTGTTTGATTAATACCCGCTTCAGGCTGGGAGTGGTAGCTCAGCCCTGTAACCCCGGTATTCGGGAGGCTGTGTCAGGAGATTCCCTGCAAGTTCAAGGTTAGCTTGAACTAGAGTGAGACTCTGTCTCAAAAAAACAAATATCTGCTTCTTTCCTTCCTCTGCAGAGAGGGGGTCCAGCCTGAGCCCCTTGTGCTGGCCCAGGCTGTTGTTTGGTAGATGACAGGCCACGCCTCTGCCACCCCTCCCAAAGGCTGGCCCTTCCCACAATTAATAGCAGATCTCTCTGAGCGTCCAGGATTGTCTGGTTTATTACTCCCACCTTTTAAAGCTAAGATTCAGCTTTTTGCTTTGACTCAAAACAGTTACTATTTGTACATAGTTCATTAGATAACTTTGGGAACAAGACAGCTTATTAAATAATAAAAAGTAACTCTTGCCTACTTTTTTTTTCCTGAACTGATGTTTATTTTTAACAGACATTATTTTGTGGAGCAGTTTTGGGTTTATAGTACTGCAAAACCAAACGAAACGAAACGAAATGAAACCAAACCAAACCAAACCCAGTTTTTTTCAAGATGGGGTCTTGCTATGTAGCCCAGGCTGAAAACACAGACACAACAACATCGCTTTCCCCTAATTCAGTGTCAGTTACACCACTCCCAGCTATGTGAGCCCAAACTGGGGCTAACACTACCACTTAAAAAAAAAAAAAAAAAGGTAAAAACTAGCTTAAAATTGTATCAAACTTTTCAAGGTTTGAAAAGTGATACTAAAGAAACTTGCTTCAAATTATGCAGAAGAGATTAATAATCTATCTTGCCTCTTGTATAAAGAATAATTCCCTAGATGAGTTTAAGGAGAGCCACGGGCAAGGACTGGTTTATGGACCCAGTGACCCTGCGTCTGTCCTGCCCTCGGGAGGAAGAGAACTGACCTGGGCAGTGTGACTGCTTCATGCTTGTGCACAGAGGTGCATTGGGACAGTGGCTGTGACACAGTGAGGGGGGCCGGCATGAGTCAGGCACCCCCAGGTGCACCCTGAATGTGACGATCACTGAACATTTGCTTTGGAGGAACTTAGGGCTAACGAGAGAATTTGGGGACATTCCATTAAGGTATGCACATGGCATGGAGGCAGTGTGGGGATGGACTTCCGGGACAAAGTGATGCTTTCATCACAGAGAATGAGGAACTCATGTAAAGGTCTGCACTTGCCGCTTGGAAAGCCCCTTAGCCCCAAGGTTACAGAGGCTCCCCGATTGCTATGCTTTGCCTCCTTTTCCCTATCACCCATTTCTTTCTCTTCTCAGACTTCACACACTAGTGGACATTTCTCACTTTCTTCTTAATCATTCTTTCTATACCTGACTTGCCAGAAGACACAGCAATGTGCTCCTAATGGAACAAGAAATGCATCTTGAAATGATTTTTTACTCTTCTACTGTCTGTTCCCAAATGATGTGATCCCCTACCTTTTTTCATTAATAACGGCTTTGTGGGGAGATAAGCCACATACCACACAGCCCATGATGAAAGGGTGCAACTCAGTGTTTTTTACTTACTTATGTATCAGTTGACTGATATTTGGGTTGTTCCCACTTTTTGGCTGCTATGAATCATGTTGCCACCAACATTTGTGTGCAAGTCTGTGTGGAGACATGTGTTTTCAATTCTTTGGGTACAGACCTTGTAGTTGAAACACTGAGTCATATGCTAATTGTTTGAGGAACCATGAAAATATTGTGCAAAGTGGCTACAGCATTTTCCACTCCCATGAGCAATGCATGAGAGTTCCAGTCTCTCCACATCCTGGCCAACACTTATTATTATCTGTCTTTTTAAATGACAGCCACACTAGTGGGGGTGAGGTGGTCTGTAGTCACGGTTTGATTCCCCTTTCTAGTGGTGAATGACATACGGCATCTTCTCATGTGATCCTTGGCCATGTCTTTTTGGGCAAACGTCTTATTCAAGTCTTCAGTCCTTTTTAATATCAGGTGACTGGCATTTTTATGTTCTAGATAGGGCATCCTCGAGTTGCAAATCTTGTCTCCCTTATGTGGGCTGTGAAGACCCCTGATGCCATCCGGGAAGGAGAGATGAGGGACTTCTCAGGTTCTGTCCTGGGTCTTTGGGAATTATGGGGGGCAGATTGCAAAGCTGGCATGGACAGCTGATTCCTTTGAAGATGTTTTGTTGACTTGTTTTAAACCTCAACTGGCGATTCTTGGTCCGAGGCTGCAGTGCTGATTTAACTATTGTTTGTTGTTATTGACAAATGTCCAGTGGATATTTGTTCTCACAGAGTGATCCCTGATTCAGGTAGAAGCTTTGGAAATAGATTTTTCAGTGAGCTAAAATATATAGGTCAAACAGTGACAGTTGTTTTTGAGGAAACTCCAAATGCTTTCCCCCAGCTTCCAGAGACATCACGGTTGTGATTTTTCCAGCTACCATGCTTGTGAGACCATGGAGTTGAGTAATGGAGAGCAGGACAGGGCAAAGGCTCACAGTCTCTACCAGACACTGACTTTCTTTTCTTAAATAAACCCCTCAATGGTTGCCAGCCTTTAGTCAATTTCATTAAAGAAGTTTATTCTGACCTTTTTTTGCCACGTCCCGTTCGTAGTGATGTGGAAGTGGATTTTCTAAGGTCTTGACTGTACTGTTTTGGAAGTGACCACCCTTTCCCTCTTCCTGGAAATCCCTCCTGTTCAAGCCAGGCTGCAGCTCTGTGACTCTCCTTGCCTGGACTAGTGCTGCTGTATGGCCTGGAGTCCACGGGACCCACCATACATTCAGAGATGTTTGGGGTGCTCTGAAATTTTAATTGGTGTTACCTGAATTTACACAGATTAGAGCACAAGGAAGTGTGCTAACCTACTTGCTTAATTTCCTGTTTCTTTAGCCTTTCTACTGTAGATAAAGAATATGATTCCAAAAATTTTGATATTCAAAAACTTTCTATCATTAATAATTACAAAATTTTACAGTAGTTCTGTGTTCTCATCCAATTGGTTTGGCTGGAAACTGACACATCTCAAAAATTCAATTTGTTAACAGGTTGAATAATAAAAGATTTGTAAGCACAAAAATATATACAGTTCTGCTAGGGAAGTGGAATGAAGGAGTGTGAGGGGAAAATGATACAAAATCTATTAAATTTTATGTCTCACCTCATTTATTAATTGCTAAAATAGACAGTAGTGATTATTAAACCACTAGGTCCTTTCCATTCTT